GTGTGAACCCATGAGTCACAAGTCAAGACCGAGCAGCTCCTTTGCTCTTAAACTGATTTGTTTGTGCTCACTTCCCTCCACAAATTAGCTTCAGGGATCATGAAGAAGGAAGCATTAGGCCTCACATAATCTCCCAGTGGTGTGGTTTCCCAACAGCGTCCCAAAAGTGGACCCTGGCTCGCTGTGATGAATCCAGTGCTAAATTCCTCCCAACAATCATTCCTCTTTGAACATGTGTTATGTTCCCTTGGTCTTATCGTCCCGGCAGATTTCCCCTCAGATCCTGGGTGCTGGAGTTAAATGTTGCTGCTTCTATTTGAGCTTGAGAGAGAAATCGAGAGGAAATGAGGAGCAGCGGGGGAGCCCTAAATAGATATGACACCGAATGACAGGACACAGGGAGGGAGGGAGAATCTGCTGCGTTTGGTGGTCTCAAATTTAAGGAAGGGTGTGTGTGTGTTACAAACATTACACACATTCACTGACTAACACAGACATACGCACACACTTGTCACTCAGATTCATGGGTGTAGCAGCTAGAGGACAAAACCATTTATGTTTCTTTGCAGCTCTAATAATACTCCACTGTGGCAGGTGTAGCTATGGAGTTTTTATTACCCTAGTATATATGGTATACACTATATATATGCCCCCCTACATGAAGGTCCAAATGCTGTTTCAGACCAGTCTACACACTGCAAGGAAACTTTATAAGGAAACTTTATACTTTATAGAGCTGAGTATCAAACCTTAAAGGGACAGTTCACCCAAAATCAAAAATACATATTTTTCTTTATACCTGCAGTGCTACTTATCAGTCTAGATCAGTGGTTCCCAACTGATCCAGCCACGGGGTCCAGATTTCTCCTCAGTCATTAGTTCAAGGTCCACGTATTTTAATATATTCAGCATCATATTCAGCATCTCTGTTAAGTAGCTGTCCATTATTAACTCGCTCTACAGCAGAAAATGCGCTTAAAAATAAAAGCTCTGTGCCGGAAATTTACTGTACTTCTAAATAAAGTGTGTTTTTTACAAACTTGACACATTCGCGAGTCAGTAACCCACTTTTGGGCTGCGACCCACCAGTTGGGAACCACTGATCTAAATTGTTTTGGTGTGAGTTGCCGAATGTTGGAGAAATTGGCCGTAAAGATGTCTCTCCAATATAATAAAACAAGATGTCACTCGGCTTGTGGTGCTCAAAGCACTTAAAAATACATTTGAAAAACTCAACAGCAATGTCTCTTTCCAGAAATCAGGACCAGCTTACCCAAGATAATAAAGGATGCCATTTATGTTTACATCTCATGATTTCAAAAGCCTCTCATCCATGAGTAGATGCACACTTCCTTCTGTGCAGCGATACAGCTGGTGGGTGTAGTTTGGTAAATAGAAAACAGTTCCTACATGAAACTGCTCACAACAAGGTCTGTGGGTTAGTTTCAGTAACCGGGTCATGATTTCTGTAAAGAGACATTGCTGTTGAGTTTTTCAAATGTATTTTTTGGCACTTTGAGCACCACAAGCTGAGTGCCATCTAGTGCCATCTAGAAGGCAGACATCTCTATGGCTGTTATCTCCAACACTTGGCATTTCACACCAAAACAATCTAGACTGATAAAAAGCACTACAGGTGAGAGAAAAAATATGTATTTTTGATTTTGGGGGTGAACTGTCACTTTAAAGGATAGGTTCACTTTATTTTTAACTTAAAGCAATACTCACATGCCCACATGTACATTTCAGGAGGTACTCGTCACTATAATTGTTTCTCCGTTTCATACTAGATGTGAAGAAAGTCCTTCTTAACATGATTCCAATATGAGTGAAAGGTTCTTTGATCCATCTGCCACAGCTCAGCAAGGAAACATTATCTAAAGAAACAAAGACTGTATTTTTGACGAATTTTGTACTTAAAAGATAAAATTGACACTAAAAAATTAAATACACCATATGATAATATCGTATAAATAACCCAGTGACTCTTGAAGCATTTGTTTCTTTCTGTTTTCACTTTGTCTCCCTCCACCAACGCCATCTGGTTGCTTTTTCAGTATCCATTAAGTGTAAATGCTCCTTCTGTAGAGTTATGATTAGAGACTGTCTCTACGTCCCTACACTCTAATGGATTTGCCAAAAAAGAGGCAAAATGCACAATAAGCAAAGGTCAAGATAAAAAGCATTATTATTATTTTAAATTTTCTCTATGGATATCATGGAATATGGTTATCATGGCCTTATCGTGACAGCCCGACATCAAATATTTTAAAGTGTCAAGTAATGAAAGTATTGAACACTTGGTTAGATTTTTGAGTTTGTTCACTAATTATTTGATCACATATTTAATTATTCAAGTCAGAAATGCAACAATTCATGACAGATTTAAAAACATAATCAGTAACATCCCTTTAAGATGAATGTCCAAATTAGAGAGAAGGTTAAAATAGAGGAAATAAATATACATATATAGATGCGAAACCTCGCTGCAAGGCAAAAGCCATATTTTGTCACAATTTATTGACATTCCATAGACTAAAATAATTATTAATTACTCGGGAAAATATCAGCAGAATAATTAGTAGTTTTGAGTTGTGTATCTACTGGATCGGCCTCTACAATACCTTCATGTGAATGTTCATAATGGTGTATAAAAGTATAAAATTAAACCCCCAGGACATGGTCTGAGAGAGAATGTGTGACTTTGTATGGGTCATAGTCTGACACACACACACACACACACACCGTAAACCTGACTAATATCAAACTTTCACACTCTGACATGCACTTAGAGCCCTCGTGATCCAGCAGCTGCTTCTCCATCTGTGTGGGATGAATTTCAGGCGTGTTGCATACTGGAAATGCTGAGACACTTTCACGTCCTCGTACAACCTTCATGTGTTCCTTGGACATGTCAGGAGTCTAACAACACACACTCACATACATACACGCAGCAGCTATTCCTTGTCAGCATGTGTAACTGGAGACGACAGCAAAGCTGAGAACGTCAACACTTAACAGTCTTTAAGTATGCTGAGCTGTACGTCGTGTTTGAAAGTTAATCGGCTTTACGCAGGCATGGACACAAAACCCGACCACAGTTTGGAGTCTCAGACTGGGAGATGAACGTGTCTGTAGTGAGTTTAAAGAACAGGCCTGGTGACATGCATGACTTCACACTTGATGAGCCTTGACAGTTATGAGCATCCAAAATGGAGCACATTGATGTTAGAGAGTGAGTATCTGACATAGTGTTGAGTTTGTGTGCTTGCCATTTGCCTTAACAAGAGTGCAGGGATGAAATTACCGCGGCGGACAGACTGCCTCTCTTTAATTAGACGTGTTTATCTACATGATACAGCAGTCCTTCCTCACCTCACCACACAGCCACATCAATCACACGTCACCAAATCTTGTCTAAGAAAAGATCTTTATTTATAAAAACAACAGTATTACCAGTTACATACTTTACTGAAAAAAGCAACTTCTCAGAGCCAAGGCAGGTATGAATGGTACATCATAATTTTACATGGATAGGCAACATTACAAATATATTGTGTGTGGAGAGTAAAAAACAAAAAAAGAACAAAACAATGATGATTGGTCTCTTTTGCCTTAAAAACAACTCAGGAGTAAAACTGGGGACTAAAAAGTTGAACAAATTGCATAATGCTCTCACCCACCGCTCCCATACATACAAAACCCGAAATAAAATACAAACAAACCTGACACAAAGTGGAAAAAACACAACAAAAATGGTAGAAATAAATGGAACACAGACCAAAATGTGCTTTATGTCCACCTAGCGAATTAAATAAAAAGTCAGCATCTCTCCCAAATCTGTCTGAGTCTCCTCTGAGTGAAGAAGCCTCACATATTAAAGTGTTTCTTTTTAGTAAATCGGCACGTCAAGACTGCCAACATGAGCGTTTATATTGCAAAAACACACAGCAAGTAGTGATTTCTTAAAGAATAGACAATAATTATGTCAAAGAGACCCTCCTAAAGTGTTCTTTAATGTCTAAATTAAGCATAGACTGTTTCTATAGTGTGAATGTTTTACTGTAGAATGGTTTCAGAAGCAGGAAATGTTTTAGTGGTTTGGTAGTGTACGATGCTCCCAGCTTCATAAATATAGTTCAGTGCCAAATTTGATTTGCTGCACTGATGTCGTTGGTGAAACCCACATCAAAATGTAAAAAACAGCAGCTCAGTTTTTTTATTTTTCACTCAGGAGAAAGGAAAAAAAAAAAAGTTAGCGAATAATGGTATGAAACACAAAAGGAGGCGATTGGTCCGTAAAAGCTAACGAAACAAAACAAAGCTTTGTCACAGGAGTAGGAGCACACTATAAAAACAGCAACATGAACGGATGAAATAATCAACGTGTGGTCTTAGGGGTCTGATCTGTGCACACACACACACACACACAAACAAAACAAAGCTTTGTCACAGGAGTAGGAGCACACTATAAAAACAGCAACATGAACGGATGAAATAATCAACGTGTGGTCTTAGGGGTCTGATCTGTGCACACACACACACACAAACACACTCACTCCGAGGTCCATTTTCCACACACTCACGGCCACAGGCTTCCTGTATGACAAATATACACACACCTGCCCTTTTCTTGTCTACACCTGTGCTCATCCCAACTGAGAGAAAATAACTCTAGACAGGAAAATAACTCCTATATAAACAACATTCTCAATCTACATGGTGGCCGTCGCTCTGTCGGTCCGTCCTGAACCTCCCAACGATCCCTGTAAAGGGACAATTTAAATTAATGAGCCAAAACTAATGCAGTCATCCCCATTTTCTTTTTATATACAGTATATACCCTACATAGAAGTCTACGTACAAATTCGTCATTAGGATGCGGGCGTTGGCATGACAAAAATTTACCAAAATGTTGACAATAGCAAGAAGAGAGAGAGAGAGAGAAAAAACAAAGCAGGATGACAACACCAGAATTAAATGATTGTCAACAAAGGTGATTGCCTTTACAGGAAAGTTATAATTTAAAAACTGAATATATTTCTGCTGCTACAATTGAATGAAGTTGTAAAAAGTAGGTGTGTATGTATCTGTAAGTGTGTGTGTTGCATGAAACATTTTGCCTGCAACATGGCCACTTTCTTTGGATGCTAACCCTCATCTTGTAATCCCATCTGTGTGGTGATAGAGAGGGAGAGGAGAGGAGGGGAGGGGAGGGGAGACGGGAGGGGGAGAGAGTCTGTGCATCTGGATCTTCTCTCCTCAGTAGCAGTGGTAGGGCAGGGATGGCCCAGTCTGGGTGATGCACACTATCAGTTTTTCTGAAGGAACAGAGCAAAATTACGTTGATTAAAACCGAGTCAAAACGTGAACACGACAACACAAAACGTGGGTAATCTGCATGGTAAACATGGAGGCAACACAGAGACTCACTATGTGGTATAAGTATGGCACACTGCACAGTAGTGCCGTCACAATAACCAGACGTTAAAGGGGAACACCACCTAAAGTAAGAACTTCAATATGTCATTTCCATGGCCTCAATCAATATCTGTAAGCATGAGTTACTCTCTGTCAAAGCCAGAAACCAGAGAAGTCTCAAACTTGTGATGTCATAGGGTATAAAGTCTGGAGCTGCTCCTCAGACAATGAAAGGGAGAATAATTTGGGGATCCATAGACTACATATACTCAAATGAGCTTTATTCTGTTGTAGTGTTCTCAGTCCTGAAACAGAAATGTACCAATACACTCACAACATTCCTCTGGGTGCTCTCAGTGTCATCTATACCATCTTTCACAATTCATCGTCCATGGAGCAGCTCTAGACTTTATACTCTATTACATCACAAATTTGAGTTTTGGCACTCTAGTTTTTGGATTTGGGAGAGAGATGTTCATGTTAACTAATATTTTCTGAACCATCGTAGACCATAGGAACAACATGTGTAATAATATCTAAAATTAAACTTAATAGAGTTTGAATCGGGTCCCTAAGGGAAGACTGGAAAATAGGAAGCTGTATCTATTGCATGTCCTACTATTAGTAGCCAGGAAGATGATAACTCTATCATGGCTTAAACCACTTCCTCCTACTATACCTCAGTGGCATGAGAGAGTGGAGAAGGTATATGTAATGGAGAAGATAACAGCACACCTTCATCTTAAGATGGTCACTTTGAGAACAAGATGGGCTCCCATAAGTGCATACTTAAATCTGCCAATGTAAAACACTGTTAAAGTGTGCTGTCTTAGGAGAAGTGTCCGAGTGTATTTGTGATTTGTGCAGAGGAATATTAGAAACAATCCAACGAGACTGAGTTGTTTGCTGAACTGTTATTGGTTCAACTGTTTAGTTTATACATTTCTTGTATAACTTTGGTTTCTTGTGTGTAACAAAGAAGAATCAGATGTAAGCAAAAATATGTGTGTAAATACATACGAATTCCAATAAATTCTTGGTCTAAAAAAAAAAAAAAGTTCGAAACGGGCATTGAATTTTATTGTAACCTTTAAAATAAGAGACTGACATAAATTTAATTAGATTTCCCTGTAAGACATTAGTAAATCACACTGGCATTAATGGACAGTAACTAAAATTACAGGCAGGCTACTATTACAGCCTTGCTTGATAAAAACTGTACCACTTATTGAATTTAATCACATGTATCCTTTGACACGCTGAATTAAAATATGCACTAATATTAGGGGTGGGGGAAATAAAATCAATACAGCATAGTAGCGTGATATTTTGTCTGGTAATACTGTTTCAGCACATGACAACAATTATTGATTTTTAATGTTGCAAATACAAATAAATCCTTTGGTAGTCTATTTGAATAATAAAACAAATTGCTTTTCAGTCTACTAGATACATTTTTGCTGCAATAAAAATTATTGAAATGAAAAACTTAACCCTTAAAACTTTATCTTATTAGATAGAACACACGTTGACCAATTTTTGGGACATTATTTGCAGTTAAAAAAGGTAATAAATCACAATATATACATTATCAAAATACTCAGCGTATCGCAAATCCTTTAGAATCGCAATAGAATTGTCACACTACATTACCATTGTAATATCATATCGTGGAGCCTCTTGTGATTCCCTGCCCTAACTAATATCTGTCCAAAAATCTTGTGCCTTTCAGCATTAATTAGAGGAAATGCTGCTTGTATCTACCATAGAATTAGGATCCCCATTAGCTACAGCACTGCATCAGCTATTCTTACTGGGGTCCAAAAAACGGACTTTACATAGTGACAATGTAACCATCGTAATTTAATTTCACTGTTTTTTTCTTGTGTGAATTCTAGTGAATTAAGTCCATTCATACATACAGTAGCTCAGTATTGTCCTTGCTTTCAGTAATGTAAAATTTCCTTCTACAGCATGTCTGATAGAGCAGTCATGTCGGGGTCATTTTTCATGACAATTAACTTGAGTCTTTTTTGCTAACAAGTAAGACAATTTATGTGGGGGCAAATAAAAATGGATTTGAGGCAAGTAGATTTCTGATCCACCTTCCTGACCAAGTGACATTTTGTTGTTAATAAAATTAGTGCAAGTACCAATAATAGATTATTATTTCAGAGCTACTTCTCCAAATAAAAGCATCTGCATTCACTAATTTTCCCAAAATCTCAATTAATCATTCTTCTGACAAGTTTATTTTATTGCATAACAATAATTCTCAGACTACTGTAAAGTAACTTGATGGCAGGCAGGCCATAAAAAACAAAATCGAACATATGCGGCTGTAATACCCTGCAGAGCCACAAGAGTGCACTGAAATGCAAATGTTAGACTACTGGCAACAGGTGACAAAGGACAGAGCAGCTGAAACTTGGATCCAGGATGAGTCCAAAAGTTAGTCAAACATTTCACAACATGTCAACAGTATCAAACACTACAACACATTCCTAAAGTGAGTGTAAGTCCACTCTGGCTTTTGCCACTATAAAAAGACACGCACAACTATTTGAGAGGTCAAAGATCACACTAAGTGTCATGTTAAAATCTCTTTGGCAAAAGTTACAAAGATCATTAAGACAAGTTTTAAGGACTAGTTTTACAACACTACATCAAATGCATAGTGTAGTGTTACTTACAGACTACACTATGCATTCGATGTTGTGTTGAAGAAATTATGATCATTTTTATACTAAAATTAGCACAGGGATTATAGTCAAAGCTCTGGTATTGTGACGACACTGCTGCACATACAACAGTTATTATTCTGAGGATTTACGTCTTGATTATCAGCTTTAGGTTTATCTCTACACTGACAGACTGCATGGACGACAACGTACGAGGAGCACCTTGCAGCATACTATACCAGCATGTACACATCACAGCAGGGAATCGTATAGTTAAATATCAGTACAGCAGAACTCAAGTGTTTTAGTACGCCACCAGGGTCTGAGGTTATATAAGGCAAAGGAACAGTGCTCATTGAGTCCATGCAGGACAAGAGGTGAGTTGGACATACCATGCTGTTACATGCAGAGGGGGGTAGAGGGGAGGGGGGGAGGGCTAACCATCGTAGGAGTCCAACAGGGGCAAGGAGCCCTTTCTGCCCCCATACACCCCTCGCTGAGAGACAACCAGAGAAAGAGAGAGAGAGAGAGAGAGAGAGAGAGAGAGAGAGAGAGAGAGACAGAGAGAGAGAGAGAGAGAGAGAGAGAGGGAGAGGGAGAGATGTGAGTGTGAGAAAAGAAAAATGTCAGTAATTGTGAAGTTTTAAAGGCTGCCAAAGGAAAAGATTTAAGTCAGGAAATATTCACAGTGGTGCAGGAGATTAGGGGTTAGTGTCGTTAAGTGAGCAGTCCAACATGACATTACAGGTATGAGCGTGAGAAAGATTTAAAGTACCGGTAAAGTGTCTGTGGTTTCGTCCAGAGTGTGTCTTCTCTCCCTCTGGTCCAGTGTAGAGTAGGCCTCTGAGAAAATGAGACAACAGCAATGAGGATTAAATCAGACCACATCTCATTATGACTTTGATGAAATAGTATTGATATAAAGCAGTGATGATAAATGTACTAACCCGGGCCAAGGTCATTTAGTGGAATCATGTCCCTCTTCTCTCCTGAGATGAAGCAAAACACAATCACAAGTTAAATTAAACAGTCTAAGCTTTTTTTCTAAGTTTTTTAAATATCTCTCAACACTGTTGTAAAAATTTTAAAGCTGGAGTGCGTGACTTTTGTCTGGTTGTGACAGTAATTGCACAAACACTGTCAACAAGTGCTTATGACTTATGCCTGCAGGTGAGCTCGACACATCTCCCCACCCCAAACAGCGCTCTGTTCCAAGTCTTTTTTTGACATTAATCCTTCCTCTGAACGTCAAATCTACTTCTCTTTACTGCTCTACTGCTATCATCTCTCCCCTCTTCCTGTTTTACAAAAATATCTTTATGTCAAACTGTCAACATGCAGTGTCAGAAGAAAACATTAGTATCACAAATATGCAGATGACGTATTGAGAAAACAAAACAAAAAGCAGTGTCAAACAGAAAAAGACAACACAAAAAGAAGCAAATAAATTAGTCTACTCTCCTTCTGCTCTGACCGGTTGATGTAAAATGATTTCTGGTGCGCCTTCACAGTTAAGTCGCCCCAGACGCCCAACACCACATCTCTCTGCGTGAACTCATTTGGCAAGGCATTTACATATAAAAGTCCCGCACTCCAACTTTAATTATAAATTGTTTCTTGTTCACTGACCTCTGTCTAGCAGTGGTGTGGTGCTGTCTTCATAGGTGCCGTTGGCTCGGGTGCTCGGACCGTTGGTGGTGTTGAGGTTGACCATGAAGTCCGTCTTCTTCCAGCCGTCTTTCTCAAGAGGCTTGCGCAGCTCTTTGTGGGCCCAGATGAGCTGCAGCACCTGGCCGGCCCCCCGAACCTCACGCTCTGAGCGCTTGCTGTAAGATACACACAGATACTGTATGTTCACACATTTACCAGAGGTGTAGTTTTTGCTTTATATTTTGGCACAGTTGTCTTTGAAAGCCAGTTTAGGCCCGTCACAAACGGTCAGACCCTTGACTTCTCAAAAACTTAGAGCTATTTAACATCTACAACTATCAAAAATAGGCGATTAACTAATTATTTAAAGCAAATTAATCTTGCTTCTGAGTGAACAGGAGTTGGATAGTTGCAAAAACACATGTTCACATTTTAGCTTTGCTTTTTCACAAAGCCTCAATAATCTTCAATAGAATGTTTTCATAAATATTACATGCATGTATTTATGGGTGGCTCCATAACAGAAGGAATATCTTCATTATAAACTGCCAAAGTATCTGTTTTATCTGTCTTACTAGAATAAAAAGCATTGTCGCATATCCAACACTGTTTGCTACAAGCTGCATTCATAGCTTCTAAATTATGAAAGCACACTGAAAGCACTTTCTTTAACTGTGTTCTTAGCTCACTTTACAGAACACACTTACCCGTCCTTGTTGATGAGCACCAGCCTCTCAATGCCCTGCGAGGCTCTGAGGGTCTTTGCTGCCTCCACACTGTTGCCTAGCACCTCAGCCAGCGTGCTCAGTACAGAAACCACTGTCTCCTCTGATAGAGCTCGCCCAGACTGACTCTGGCCTCCAGGCAGGTTGGCCACAAGGTGAGGCACTGCATGCAAACCTGCAGGAGACACACAGTGAGGTAAGAAAAATGATCTTGAGTGATACAAATGCAAACATTAAAAATCCAAGTCCAAATAATTGCACACACTTTCCAAGATGCATCAAATATTGCATTTAGAAGAAATGTAAATATACAGCAAGAGAGAAGGGTATGACAGAGTATTTTGTGGCTCATCTCATTGCATAACACAACATCCTTACCGAGCAGTTGGCAGTTACGGTTGTCGATGGAGAGGTTCCTCAAGGCTCCGGACATTGCTCTAACAACACGGTCGTTGCCATGAGCCAGTAGCTCTGCCATCATGGGAAGACCCTTCTCGAGACGCACTGTAGCCCGGATATACCGACCATACTGAACAACAAGCGAAGAGAGAGAGAGAGCAATGAATATTATTTTACATTGACAGCATTTTCATTAGAGTAACTTCACGAGACAGTGTCATGGACTTTATCACAACTAACGAATCAGATTAAATTTACTTCAACAAACCCAAAACTCTCATTTAGACAACACCTGAAAAACTACTAAAAATTTCCCCTTTTTTAAACAGCAGTATTCAAGTTTGTTAAGAAATGGTACTTACAGTCCATCTGCCAGCACAGAGGTTCTGAATTGCACCAGCGGCAGCCTCCAGCACCGAGGGGTTCTTGCTCTCTTTGAGCAGTGATGTGTAAACACGGACCACCTCTGGTTGGAACAACAGCTCGTAACCTGAACTCGGCAGAGAGAGATGGGTGTTAGTTTAAGTTGTAGACTGTATATAAAGATGGACGAAGCCTCTCCGCTTGTTCCCACTGCATAGAAGTGCCAAAATATCCCAGAAATGGGTGCTGCCATCTTGCGCTGGTGATGTCATTTTGGGCCAGAGTCTGCGCAATAGTGATCAGGAAGTGGAGCTGTGGTATCAAGCTTCCACCCACAGCACCTTTGATTGTGAACACACTGGCTGACACACACAGCTGTCAATCATGACATCACACCCCCTTTTTAAAGCATCAAATAACAAACACATGAACACACAAATGCGTGACAAGAACTAGCTAAAAAGACAGCAACAATCTTTGGGAAAACTGATTTGACGTGTGCTTTGATCATTTAGTTTTGCCCACATCTCATCTGCTGACGTGGAGGGGGAAGAGTTTATGACCTAAAATGCAGCCAGCCATCAGAGAGCCATCAAGATGTTTTGGCTTCACTTTTTAAAAGCTGTCATGTCGTCCATCTTAAGATTTACAGAGTCTGACAAACTTCAACATTTAAGCTGGACACAGATAAATCAGATACCAAAAACTACTTCTACTAGCTGACCTCGTATTTTGATAATGTCCAAACTTAACCGGAACCATTTATCCCTGTAATTAGGACACATTTTACACACTGTAGCCTCAACACCTCAAAGCTTTTTAAGCTTAAAATTAATAATAATAAAAAAAAACAACCTTCTATTATCCACTAGTTTGGAACTTAGCTGATATTTTAGGCACGAAATTCAGGAAAAATCATTTAAGTAAACATTAACATTTTCAGCTGGCTTCCCAGAAATCCATTTCCCAGACTAATACAAAAGTTAATGTAGATATCTGGTGACAAAGGTCCTTAGTCCAGAACTCTATTTTTATCTTATCTTGTTTGTGTTTAGCAGTAGCAAATAAAGTTACAAACTGTGCTAAATGGGGCATGAGGTGATTTGTACCTTAGCATTTAAGCTACTTTTGGGACTGATCAATTATTTATCTGATCAATTATAAATGATATGAAGGGAAAAGAGAGACGCATACCTTTGGCAGGTGTTGTCCTCTTTGGAATGTCGATCTGCTCTGCAGACCCGTCCTCTCCATCCTTCTTTCCTGCAGCAAGAGATGAAATAAAAAGGAGAGAGAACATGAAAGATTGAGCTGAACAAGTAACACGGATTATGTGAAGCTGGTTGAGATGAGCAGTCAGACATCCTCAGTCCTCTATTCTGGTACAGCGTTATGTGAAATGCGACCATGCAACCAGTGGAACAGGCACTGTGAACATGCAGTATCGTCTGCGTGACATCGGGTGATCATGCTCATGAGCTTGATGTAAATTCAGCATTATTCTTGTTTCTTTAGCCAAGTATTGTTCTGCGTTAGTTAAATGAGAAATGACAGAGTGGTCAATACTTTCAAAAGTTCACCAACACTAATGAGGAGAATCTTACCTTTTGAAAACCACTCATCTAAACACAGCAGAGAGAGAGGAGGATGAGAAGGAGGGTGGGAAGAAAGATGGAAGGGGAAAGGTAAGAGGAAGGAGAAGAGGAAAAGGAGGGAAACAGTGGTAGAGTGTGAAAAACAGCGACAGGTGCTTCCACCACCAACAAGCTCAAAGCCACCAGCAGATGCCCATCTTTCAACAGCGAATTGCACGGACACAGTGGAACTCAAAGCTGTAATAGCTGTCTGACACTCACCTTTGCCCTTTCGAGAGCCGAAGCAGCCACCTTTGTTGGCAGGGGGCGGTCCCTGGTTGAGGGGCGTGGCCTCTACATAGCGCTCGCAACCGGGGACTTCACGGTGAACGTGATAGGACAGATTCCTCAGGAGGCAGACACAGTTCTCCACCAACTGCAACAGGTGGAGAAAAAGGGTTAAGATGATCAAAGTTGGAGACTAAGTAAGAGAGGTGCTTTGGTTTCATGGGGTTAAGTGTGACTTAAGCAAACAGGTACCTTGTTATCCACATCTTTGCGGTTGATCTGTGATTGAACAATGTACATGAGTGAATCCACCAGTCCTGTGCATTCTCTCAGCTTTCGCCTGGCCTCGCTTCGTTCTGAGCTCACATTCCTGTTAGACAGAGGGAGACATATAAGCACATAATTGCATGTTTCCTTCTCAAAATAGTCTCTCTTTCTCCTTGTCCGACTTTCTCCGCTTTCAGTCCATCAATCCCTCTGCGTACCTAAGGCAGCCAGCAGTGTTGGTCAAGGCGGTCTCCCACTCCAGATGGCGTGGTTTGCAGCTCTCTTCTCCTCCGTTGCTCCCTCGCTCCCAGCCAGAACGGGGAACGACCACCTCGTCAGCTAGGGCATGCAGGGCGTGGTCCACAATCTCCATCTTTACGGAGTCGTGGGATGAAAGGTTCCACAAGGTGCCTGGGACAATATAATAAATACTGTTACTATCACTGCAATAAAAATGACAGTTTGGCCCTTTAAATAACAAAATACATTCAGTGAGACCTTTTGTCTCATCTATTGAATTTGTGTTTCTTCTTCTCTTTTGTTTTGTCAATACTTAAACATATTAGCATGTTATGTGACGGTTGTTATGACCTAAACACGAGCTTATGGCAATGGTACATTCATAAAGACATTATAAAATTCAATTCAAGGACTTTCAAGTACTTTTTCAAGCACTATTTTGTCATTTTCAATTACTTTACTCAAAGTAAACAATTCATGTCATTATATATATTTATAAAACATAAACACATGATGTGATCAATGTCTCTCTTTTCATTCTTATCACGCTCTTTTTAGGCATTACTGTATAAAATCCTCACAAAACCTGAATGGCATGAGAGCTATTGTGCTTTCACTATAATTGACCACTTTCTGGCACTTCAAAAAGTTTAAATCCAGAGGAAGTTTCAGAGCGAAAGCATCCAAATAACCACAGAAAATCACAACAACTGAACTCCAACTGGGTGAGCAGTGTCCTCATGCCTGCCCTACACCTACTTACTGACTGCACATGGTGAGAAAAAGTAGAGACCCTGCTGCACCTGCCTGATATCAGACAGAATTGTCAACTTGTTGCAAAAAGCTGGCTCATTAAATTAAGTCATGTTAAGTTTAACCATGCCAACATAGCCCTACTGGTTTTGCTGGGGGTTTAAGAGTAAAGCAAAGTAAAAATGAACTACGATGACAGGCGGGACATCATCAAGGCGAGGAAGAAAGAAGAGGCAGAGCGCACTGCTGGTGACACATTAGATTTTGAAAAAAGAAGAGCAGAGTGATTTATGATTCTGTGCAATTAATTATAATGACGTGATGAACAAAAGTACAAGACAGAGTTACACAGTTTGTTTGAACTTATAAGGATTTTTCAAGCACTTTGTTAAAAAAGGGGCTATTTTCAAGGCATTCAGTACTCGATTTCCCTCATTAAAATTATATATGTGTATATATACACAAACACATAAAAACTCCCCACAAATGATCTCTGTGATTATCACATGATGTTGATACCTGTGATAGTGTCGGTAAGGTCCTGGTCGTGGGTTTTTCTCAGTAACCTGATCAGAGCAGGCACTCCATCGCAGTTCTTGATGGCGATCTTGTTGTCTTGGTCTCGCCCGTATGAAATGTTCTTTAGTGCTCCACAGGCCGAGTGGTGCACCTCCTTGCTGGGGTGGTCCAGCATTGACACCAAGGCTGGGATGCCCTTTAGGCGACGCACCTCCGACTTCACCTAGACACAAATAATCAAGCTCACATGAAGGAATCGCCAAATCGCCACAATACAAAAAGATAAATATCCGTTAAATACTGTAATTCTGCATTTTATTGTGACCAGTGTTTCACCTTATCGTTTTTGAATGTGAGATGCTGGAGGAAGGCGGCAGCGTTGGTCTTGACAGGGTCCAGACGGTAGTTCAACATGGCGATGACCTCTGGCAGCTCAGGCTGTCTCCATGAAGAGGGAGGAGGCTTCCTCAGTGTGCTGTCCAGTGAAGCCATGCTCCCCCTCTCCATCGTCATGGGAACACCCCAGGCATAAGGGTCAACTCCTCCGACATCACCATCCAAAGTGTCCTCACAGCTCCTGCATGTCGCCAAAGGAGATGAATACAGAAACATTTGTTAGGTGTTGTTCAAGAACCAAATTTAAATGTTTCAAATTAGCTCAGCAGGGAACGTTGTGACATATTGATGATATACATTATCAGTGTTGTTTTACCTGAGTCTTCGTCTGTCCATACCAGCAGGGCCAGGCCCTAGGCGTGGCATGGTACCGTAGCCCCCAGGGTGAATGGGTGGAGGCCCCATGCCATAGTCATCATATCCCACACTGCGCTGGTCATCCTCCAGAGCGTAGTGGCCTTGGCCATATCGCATCTCCAAAGCTGAGCCCAACGCCCTCATCCCCCGGCTCACCTGGGGCTGTGCTGCATATGGGTCAAGCTGCTGACGGCTTGGGGCCCGGTAGCCAGAGTCCAGGGTCCTGTAGCCGTCAACTGGCCTGGGGGAAAAGGGAACGAGGGAAGTGAACAGAGTTGTTAAAGTGAGATGAGATCCCATTACATTAACTTTTTCCATAAAAAGAAAAAACAAAAGAAGGACATCAAAGTTAAACCACTCTGTCCACAATGTTTTATGGAGGAAATATTCTTGTGACCACGTTGAAAGGAACTGAAACATCAATAAATCTCTTTAGCAAATATACAGTGCTTTGAGTTTAGTGTTATTTTGTTTTGTGTAAGAATTGCAGTTGTAGTTACAGATCTTGTTTAAACAACAATGATCGGAGGTTTAACTGTAGCGGCTCAAACTCTGGTGTAAATGATCCAAACATGGTTGGAGCATGTATTCATAAACTCATAAAACAGTTTGTGTGCAACAGATGTACAAATGTGATGCATTACGCTTTTGTGTCCACTCATGAAAACCCAAAAAACTACAGTGACAGTTTGGCTTATGGGGATTGGTACCAAGTTAAGCTCAAATGCTGAAAATCTGACGGTACTCGCCATTTTCCAGTATGATAGGGATTGTATTCTTCAGAGCCCGACAGGGCAGCATTAACGCCTACAAGTGTTCTAGTCTGCCGTTAAATGCCAAAGGAAGTACAAGTGAGACTGCAGTGGAGGCTCTGCCTTTTTTTTTGCCTGTCTTTTCAATGGCCACTGCATATTAACACAGTAATACAAACACGAGCAGTTTGACAAGACACTGAGCGTCAACTCTGCACGTTTCTGTTTTTCTCACATAACCCACATAGACTAGAACTTCGCATTTGAGAAAGGTCATCAGTGATTAATAATAAAATTTAAATTAAATGTTTTCAATAAAGGAGTATCTGTTTAAGTACATGGGATATTGCCTTTTTTCTAATTGTGGAATTTCACTGGTATTGATATCTAATACGAAATTTCTGTTACCGTCATATGCCTAGTGGCATAAAGACAACATATTCAGATAGTTTTAACAACAATCACAGGAAAACATTCACAGCACTCCTTTGTGAAGGGGTCTTGTACCTGTAGCGTTCGTCCATGTGCGAGCCCCTGCTCAGGCTAGTGTATGCCTCCGATGGTGGGCCACCCCGGTAGTCATCATAGCCCACAGGACCATAGTGGTAGTTTCTGGGCACTGTGGCCGTGGGGTAGTCTGCTGGTACAGCCTGCCTGTAAGGACGGTCCAGTGTGGCGCTATAGCCACCCATACCAGGCACCGACAAGCCCCCATCAATGGACATCGAGTCAGAAGGCAGGACTGTGCGCGAGATTGGTTTCTTCATCTGAGGCAGAGCGAGATGGGAATGATGTATTAAAATATATTATGGCAAAGAATAATGCAGTGTTTTAAGATCCTTGGATGTGTAGCTAAATGAATCCATCTGTACCACTAAAATTTTAACTGTCAACTTGATTCTTTAGACAAGCCTTTGCAGAAAAGTCTCATGACATCACATGTGTCATAATCACTTACGCCATTGTCTGGCCGCCGTGCGGTTCCCTCATCAGAGAAGACTGAGTGCACTTCCTGGGAGTCGTCCTCTGGTGTGTAGCTCTCATCGAGAGCGCCGTGTGCAGGGTCCACCATTCTGTACTGTAGCACAGACACATCACACATTAATATTCTTAAATCACTAACACTTACTGCTATAAATACAAGAAAAAATAACATTTACTTAATAAACTACAACATACCTGTGTGCCGTTTATATATGAGTCAGTCAGTTTCAGCCGTTCTATGTCTGCATCCCCTAAACGCCCGTTCTGACATAAAAGAGAAAGACCCAGCTGTGAAATTTGTATTGTAGAAATTTTAAATGTCATACACTTTTGCTTTATCAGTACATAAAAGTGAGGCTGAAGGCATGATTCCCAGTAACCAGTGCTGTCTCCTTTCTTACAACCTCCCAGATGATATTACTGCTGCTGAAGCACATTCACTGCTGACCAAACTGTCCCTGCATGTTTATGGTCTGTGAATCACTGCCAGACATGAGGGAGGACATTTTGGAGTGCAGCCACTCATCCTCACACCCTACTTCCTCCTGCTGTATTCTGTTACATAACCAATGACTGTCACACTGTATAACTTGGACACTTTCTACCTAACCCTGAGTAACACTCGGTTTTAAGCAACATAACCACCTCAGTTATCAGCAATACTCTCAAGCTGAATCACTGTGTAATTGAGATACTGGAACTCTTTCCCAGGAGCCGTTTCAGCACACTGGGTTACTATCAGTTTCAGTATTTCTTTGACACTACTGACTAATACAAGAAAAAACAATGTCATGAACCTTATCAAACACTGACTCCCACTCAGTTTCCAGTAGTATGTCGTACTGCACTTGATATAATGTCCACAAGGAGGCAGGGCTGTTATTAAAAAGCAATGGTGAAGTGCAAGTGTTGCTCTACAACAAGGAGGGCATGCTTCCTCTACAGCTGGCCCTTCCTATAATACCACCTCATTTACCAACAACCCTGTCACGGTCCTGGAAAAATGCTCATACTGTGAGGTTGGCAAAGCACAAGAATCTTCATCAGCATGATTATTTTTAGAAATAAAACATGCACAGTTCTCACAAGGCCAAAAGCAAAGATTCTTGCCTTCTTAGCCTTCATCCTCCAGCTGCCATACACATTATCAAATAAGTCACCTTCAAGGATTCAAAGAGACAAAACACAATGTCTAATCCATGTCAGCGAGCCCTAATGGAAGGAAAATATTGAGGAATAGATTTCAAATGCGGTCAGTGTACAATGCCAAAGGCTTGAAGACATGCTTAAATGTCAACCTGTGATTACGACACAGAATACGACCTTTTGTCTTAATGATAATGGCTCTGTTGTTAATTACTGCTGCCTTCAGGCACCTAAGCAAAGTTTACCGGTATCTGATTGTCAAGTCATTTGGTAGAGACAACAAAATGGGACAAGAAGGCAACAGTGGGACCACGTCCAAGAAAATAACTCAGCTGTAAACTAAAAAGCCAAGTGAGCCTCTCACCCTCAATCAAAGCTATGTTGTCCATTTTTTTATTCATATTTAGGAACAGTACTGTGAGCTCACTTCACAGCAAAATAGCAGTTCAGGACAGGTGATTCAGTTGTTGCCTAGCAACAATTAAGTAAAAGACACAGCAACCTGCAAAACACGCTCTGATGGGAACCTGAGAGCATTAAAACCCCCAAGACAGGGAAGCTGACCTTTACCTGCAAAACAGATCTAAATCATAATACAGTAAATTTAATGGAGAATCAATTGAGAAACTGTGGATAAAATAATGAGTTATGAATGTCTGTCCTTAGTTCACTCAGCAAATTAAATACCTTAGACAGTAAAGTGACAGCTGATGTGGTAATAACTGGTGTTGAAACTGTTTGTCTGTTGATATTAAGTCTACTGACAGGAAATCAATCTGCTACTTTTATGACAACTGGTTGATCATTTAAACTATTTTTGAAGCAAAAGTGCCAAAAATTTAACAGTTCTGACAGCTCAAATTTAAACATTTGTGTTTTTCTTATATCCTCTGTGACAAAAAATAAACTTCCAAAATAATCAGCACATTAATCAATAACTAAAGTGAACTGAATGTAACTTTGAAGGCATGCCAGCACATCTGATGGTAGACACAACAACACAGCCTGCATGTGTATATCATCTTATCGCCCAATCCTAACACAGGCCACAAGGCTGATATAATGTAGCACAGGGCGTAACAGATACCAGTGATTTTAATACACATTTTCATCAAATGGCTTGCAATACCATGGATGTTCAACACACAAAAAGATAATTGCATGCAAAAAGGGGCTTGATAAATGATTTAAATAAGGAAAACACAAAGACAAAATTCTTCATGGTGAATAAGAAACCACAATGGATGCAGGAGTATGCGACATGCATAACAGATGACCGCACTCTGTACCACGACATGCTGGAACAGAGAGGGAAATAACTGAGATGCCACAGTGGGGGCTGACAAAAGGTGTATATGTGTGTGTCAGTGTGTATCCTGTAAGTGACAGTAAAGGCATGCAGAAAATGTGTGATGACCATCTCAGGCATGTTAAAAGTTGTGGATCTACATGCAGGCGCGAACTGATGTGTTTGCAGATGAAGGCCGAATGGCAGAAGGACTTCAGAGACACAGAGTCAGTGAAGAAAGACTTTCAATGATGATGCAAAGAAACGTAGAGGGACACAAACTGGCCGAGCGCTGGTGGAGAGGAGGCGGGCGGAGGCAGAGAAGGGATGAATGATGGATGGATGGAGAGAATCATGATCCATGGATTGGACGTCAAGTGAATGTCAACGAGAGACACTGGATGGGGAGTTTTTTGTTGGGGAGCTTTACCTGTGTGTGAGGGAGGGGGCGACCCAGGGCCGAGGGGCTCGTTGCGGGGAGGCCCACTCTCCTCCTCTCCTCCTCCAGCGCCCGGGTCAGCTGTTCAAACTGCACCTCCTGCTCCCTGACCGACTCCAGCAGAGCCGCTGCGCTCTCACACTGCTCCATACACACTACACAGCCCCAAGGGGAGAGAGGGGGGCGTTACACACATCCATACAGCCTCGTTCACACTACAGCACAGGGGGAGGGTGTCTAACAAAAACACAGACACACCTCTCCATATAAAGTAAGCAAGTTCCGATGGTCGCAGATTTTTGTGGGCTAGGGGTTACCTTATCCTCTCTGAGTCACCTGCTTTGCTTTGGTGACTGACACTGAGATGCCCTCTTGAAACTGACACCATTGGGATTGCACAACACTTCCTTTGAACTCAATAATGATTATACAGCAGTGGCAACTGTAAGGACATGTTTGTGTCTGAAACTCAGACAAAAAAAATTTCCCCAACTTACACAGGATTCTTGTGGAAAACATCTATTCCTTTGAAAACCTGTCATGGTATAATGACTCATTCATTCAAGTTTTTATTTTTTTCCCCACACAGAGACTTTAAAAGTGGCTGACTTGCTCCAATTTCATGCCTCCTTTAGGAATACCCGGAAAATGTCAGCACTGAAGAAACCTGCATCACAAGAAATGTTCTGAATGCATCACTTTTAACTGTAAGTGCAACTGTGAAATCATTCTAGGATGGCGCTACTTAAAAAGAAAATGCAGCAGAATATTAAACTACTTCATTAGTGTCATTAAAGGCATAATTCACATGACACAATACTATAAATTTCAGGTCTGACAGTAGACACAATATGAGCAAAACACTGCGTGAGAATAGTAGTGATAATGGAGGGGAGAGTCTTTACCATCAGGGTTTTTGTAGTAAGCATTAATACTGCAACATATTGATCCTGATGGTGTGGAGATTATTGCAACATAACATTGTTCAAGACCACCAACCCCTGCATGCAGATCAATGAAGTTATTACCACTTAAGGCATGCATGGAATAACTTTCTGGGCTTTTTCACCCTCTCAGACACCACATCAGAAAAAACATTCTTACATACAGAAGGCAGATTAAGATTTTTGAAAATAAATCCTCTGCAGTGTGAAGTCTTTGCAAAGCAAAACATCACTGATGCATTGCCAGAACACTACAAGCAAACTTCCTTTTAAAGGAAACACTGCATGTTTCTCCACATTTGAGAAGAATATGGGTTGTCTCACTTGCATAAACATGTTTATTTCATGGATATACAATTAATGTGGTTTACAAAGTCATGGGGGAAATGTTTAGTTGGATTTTCCATACTTATACATCACAAATTGAAACTTAAACCACCGATTTTAAATCCCAAAAGTCTGGTGTCATGACTGTTTTATCCGCACAGGCTGCATCTGCAGCATAATTTAGGGTGATACAGAGATCTGCAGTGTACAACAAACTGTAAGAACAAAGAGGATGAGATAAGGCTGGGTGTTTTATTTTCGATTTCGATTTTTGCTTTGAAAGATCATGACAAGATAACTGAGATAAAATGATTATTGTGGCACATTCCGTTTCGAAATGATGCTTTTGTTTTGTCTTGTGTTATAAATCCAGTCCATGCTGCCAACCCCTGTCCATCACAGCAATGCATTATTGTTGCTAACTTGGTGACTTTACCACTAGATTTTGTGACTTTTTAGACAATGTAGACACTTTATTTCCAAAAAATAACCAACTGCGAGTTTTTTTAAGTTCAATTAAAGCATGTTTTCAAAAGTAAATAAATAAATAATTGTGAGCTAAATCGAGCAGCCCTAGGATGCGGCCTATCACCTGAAGAGAAGCACCTTTCATACTTTCTGGGGGGATCTTAACATCACAACACACCACATTCAATCCAAGGAGAGCTGCATACTTGTCTTTGTTAATAAAACACAAACACACTCTCAAAGAATCTCAATTTCAGAGAAAATCAGAGATACACACCTTAACCTGTGGGCGTGGTTTGGTAGTAGAGGTGAGAGATCACACCAAGGTCAGAGGTTGAGCTTTAGTTGCTCATGGGTAGAATGTCACCGAACCACCAAGCCCAGAAACAGGGAGGAATGGACTGCAGAAAGAGAAAGACAGAGAGGTGGAGAGAGGAAAATAATAAGCAGAAAGAGAGGGAAATATTTTAGTGAAGAATGAAGGCACCTCGGTTTGAAAAACAGCAACATAGTGAGAATACCATACGAGTGTGTTAACGGGGTTGTGTTTGCTTTGCGAGCAGAAAAAAAAAAAACACAGCGAGAGACAGAGACATACAGTAGCTTCATCCTTTCGACACACCCTGTATTTACACAACATTTGGCCTGCGCACGGCAGCAAGCTGTGGGAAGTTGACCAACCTGCAGCTCTTTCTGGGCCACAGAACACTGACTGTCAGCAAAAACAGAAAGAGGGCTTTAGAGATAGTAACATCCTTCAAGAACCATATGTTCTCATATCAGCTCATGCTTTTCTTCTCCTTCTTAACCTGGCTTTTTTCAGTTTTTCTTCCAGCCGTTCCTCTCTAATCAGTCTTCATCTACCTCTGGCCTATCTCCGTCAGTCTGCTACTCATGTTCTTTCAACTTAACTGCCTCTTTATCCCTCCCCCTACGTCTCTTTGTTATCTTGGCTGTGCTCTGAGAGAAAGACATTGTTGTGGCAGAGCCAAACAAGTGGAGACTCGGATCCTCTTATCTGTTGATACACCCCTCCGCTACAGCTACCCGGCTCCTCTTCGGCCCTGGTTTGAAAGGTGAATAAACACAGGCATTACCACCCACACACACGCGCACGCACACCTGTGTAACTGGTTGGACAAGGTAGAGGAGGGGCGACCCGATTTCAGTTTCTCAAAGCCTCTCTGTGTCTCACCAACATGCACAGACATACTCCTCTGACAATCCGGAGTGTAAGTCCACAGCAATTTGGGCAACAAACATGGACCTGCATTTATATTTCAGGCAGCAGGTGTTTTGTGCACAACAGGTAGGGTGTTAACAAGGATAGGATTTCAAGTTGAGAGAGGGTGACGAATGACGCAGAGTTTCACCTGCATCAGATTGTGTAAACAGAAAAAGAAAGACAGACATGGTGATATGACTGTGTGATAGACAGACTATTACAACACCCTTTAACTAGTAAAATGAAGCCTGCAACCGCTGCGTCGATTCCTGTACGTCTGCCAATGACTAACACACATTCACACACACGAATGTGACCTGTGGCTTATTTAAAAAAGCCCCAGTTCGGGGTGTGCCCAGTGTGGGAAAAAAGGGAGGAAAGTGGGATGTCCTGATGAGAAAACAAGGAGTGGCTGAGGCTCATTTCACAAGACAAAGGAATTTGTCATAACCAAAAGCAGGATTTGCATGCGGGATAAGGCTGGCTGACAGGAAGACATGATGTCACATACACACACACACACTATCCTTTGCTTAATGGCTGTGGCGCCCCAGAGCTATAACCTCCCACCTGAGCAAATCACACACTGCTGTCCTGTACCACTCATGCCTTTATATGGTCATAGCCAGGACAGGGCTGGTATTACCCACTACAGACAGACGGAGATGAACAGGACTGCAAACAAATAAAACGAGGAGAAAAACAGACAGTGAAAAACTCAGAGACAGAGTAAGAGGGTAAGCTGGAGCGTAAGATGGGGGGGTTGAGATAAGGAAAGGAGTGCTGAATAAAAGATAAAAGCCAATCTTGCATTCCTAGCATTGTCTCTTGCCAATTCAGCACAGCAGCCCACCCACTCATCCACTGTAGAACGACCTTAACAGGACACTGGCTAATAATCTTTTAGAGATGTGTGTTTACTGTACTGTTGCAGTATTTTAAGGCAAGTTCATAATTGCAATAACCCAAACACAAACTGTTTATCTTACCCTCTTTTCATCTGGCATCATTCCATAATTTTAAGCCACATGTAAACACAGCCTCACTCCTCATGTTATCTCCAACGGAGCAAATTATCATCACTGACATGCTACATACTATCCTGTTTCACTAATGAGTGCAACTGTCATTCATACAAGATAAATTATAAACTGTGATTGATATTTCTTGGCAAGTGTACTTGGGAATGTGATTCTAAGTGTGTTTCTGTGTGTGTGTGTCTGTGTTTTAACCACAGTCAGAGGAGGGAATTTGCAGCTGTCAGTCCGGGAGGTTGGTGAAACAATAAGAAGTTTGTGAAACCGAGAGCATGAACGCAAGTGTGAGAAGAGCTGGAGAGCAAGGAGGACATTATTGGACATATTTGAGTGCGAGTGCATCTGTGTTTGTCTGTGTCTAGAGGGGGTCAAGTTAAAATTGCCCTTAACCCACTCGTGACTTCTGTTCTCCATCCGTTTTTCCCTTTCACAGCTGTTAGTTTTGGCCTTGAAAGTCAGCGGTGAGTTTCGTTGAACAATGAAAACAATCAGTGCTGTCCAATTGCCTCTCCCCTCCCCTCTTTCCCACTTCCTGAGAAACAGGATGTTATGGATTCGACATCAGAGATGAGTAAAGGGATGCAGCGGCTAGCTGAGCTCAACAAAAACCATTTTCCTCAACAGAACTGCTGGTACACAAAACCGCGAGAGCCTATAGAATGGACACTTTAATAAACCACCTGATGGTTGGAGGAAGTTTTTGTGGTGAAAATCCCCAATGGTCAATATGCTGATCACACGACCACTAACAACTTCCTGTTTTGCTAATATTGTTCTCCATCTGCTGTTTTTTGTTCTGCTTTCATGACCTATCAGAAGCAATAATTGTGAACCTATGTGGCCACATCATCACATCTTTTTAATGATAAATTAAAACACTTTGTTTCGTTCCTGTAGTTTAACCACCGAATCCTCATTCTCGCTAAAACAATGAAGTCGATTGACACGTCAAAGCTAGTGGCACAATTAATTGGTTCCAATTTTTTAAAATGTTAATATATGTTGTTTTTCTTACTCCTATATTGATTATCTTTAGTTTTTGACTGTTTATTGAGACAAAACAAGCAAGGCTTTGCCTCGGGCTCTGGGAAGTTGTTTCACTATTTCCTGACATTTGATCAAGAATATAATCTGCACAATGATCGACAATGACAATAATCTTTAGCTGCTACCCTAGTTTTTCTCTAAGATGACAAATTATGTCCAGGTAAACCACTTCAAGAAAAGAAGAAGAAAAACAGCAAAATGCAAACATAAAATTATTAGAAATCACAAAGAAACTAAGAATGGAAGAAAGCATTTTTGTCATACATGCTGATTCTGAGCCCTTATTCACTAAACATGTATATTAAGACATGTAAAGGTTACTGTAAGCAGCCAAGCACAATGTTTTTAAAAAGCTGTAAAAAGGTGAAAGAACAAAAGTGCACAGATGGGGATTTATGTTTGGCTTTCCCAAACACAAGGCCAACAAATGGTCAAGAAGTCAAGCACAGTGCCTTAAAGTCAACAACATACACACACCCCTCAAACATCTGATGGAGCCCTGACACACCACGAGTCACATATCTCCATCTGATTCTGCAGCCATCAGTCAGCATGACTCACTCAACTCTGTCAGAAGACATCTGCAATCATACACACATGAAACCAACAATACAGCCTTTGTCGACTTAATGAAACTCTGGTTAATGCAATAAGCGCCTACACCTGCCATCTGCGGCAAAAATTCCCACTGAAACAACACACTCACTGTCAAAAAGCACATGTGTTCACGTATCTCGAAGTAAGGGACACTGCAATTAACTGATAAGTTAGTGTGATGCTACCGGCACTGGTTTAAGCTGAGCGTGGCTTGTAATGGGATTGAAGCTTTAGTCTGCTAATCCACTTACCGCCTAACACATACACACATGATGTTAACATGCACGCAAGCATGTAGACAAACACACACAGGTTAGGCCCTTTGTGGATTAACCTGCACACCTTAAGAGGGCAGACACAATTGCAGTCGCCGTTGGAAGCATGCATCAACAATCAAACACTGTCTAGGAGACAAGTGAACATGAAAGGCTGATACCTGGGTGTTGTTCACAGTCACACACGGTGTTATTAGAGGTGGCACTTGAGGCACATTAAACAAGCCCTGACCCAGTGATACCTACAGCCATACTGTGTAAACTTAAACCAAGATAGTCCTAAGGCCCACAGGGAGGGCAATTACCTACACAGCAATTAATGTGCCTGTATAAAACCAATGTTTACAAGGGGAAAACTAACTAGTTTATCTGTTCACAGTCAAGCTGACAGTTATCCCCACCCAGGCATTTTCCTACCACAACAAGTTCACACAGGACCCACCCAACAGGTTCACAGGCGGACAAACTTTGACTCCCAGCCCATGTGACAGACTGCAACTGGAAGACAACCACTCTTTGGACGGACTCAAATACACAAAACTGGCTCAACGTATACATGCGTTGTCAAACAAGTTGCGGGGTTTGCATTACCATAACCTAAACTGTCCTCTCCGGGGCTCCTTACAAATGATAACCGTCGCAGTGTGAAAATCTACTTATCTGCTAAGCTGATAAAACTGTCTGCTACCGACTTTTTATACCCAAACATTTCCCTCTGGAGCCGCCACCAGCTAGTATTTCCCTTATCTAACAAAACCCCACAGACTGTCGTGAATTGATTTGCTAACGTCATACAGCAATCTAGGGCAGGAGCGACGAGCAGAGCTGGCAGCGTTAGCTAAAGCACAGAGGCAGTAACAATAAGACGCTGGTTTAAAATGACTCTCACGAACAAAGACTCGCGTATTTCAGCACTGAGTTACTCGGTGCTTGTGCTAACGCCACTGCCCAGATAAATGACAATGCTGGAGATCAAATCAGCCCAGTTGGCCATAATGCTCGCTCAGCACCCGCATGACCTGGTTTGGCTGTCTTGCTACGTTAGCATCACAATAACCCACATAGCCGACCGAGAGCGGTGCCAACAGCCAGGCTAACGTTAGCATAGCAAACACAGATTAGCCGCAAGTTAGCTCGTGTTTAGCTTAGCGGCATTTTAAGCTAATTTAGGCGGCGTTCTCGGTTTTAACCGTTGGTATCAACGACTCTTTTTCACCTGTTAAAACAGTGTGCACGGTAGACAACAGGCCCGGGGGTCACGGTATGAACTTTTAACGTTAGCACCGTCAGCTAACGCTAGCCTTGGGGAGTCGTGTTGCTGATCTGTCGATGATGTGACCACTCCTTGCCAACGCTGCAGTGCACCCACTATCTGAGGAAAAAAAAACCCGCGGCCCCCGCTGTATGAGCCATATTGTAACATTTATGAATTAACTCACCTTGCTCGTGGAAAGCCTGTCCCGACCCCTTTCAGACTATTCCGTTTTTTAGTGTTTTCTCCCCTCTTTTCCCCTCCTTTCCTGGGTTCTGGGTCAAGCTCGTTAAAGACGAAGCGACATCACCGAGTTTTCTATCACAGAGAGGGCGGGATCAACAAGCGGCTTTACCGTAAAGATGGCGCACGCAGAATTCCTTCTCTCATACAGGTGTTTGTCAGAAGTTTCTAGACTGGCACAGGTACTCAGCAGCCAGCAGCTGGATTGGGAATATAAATAAAACACACAGGGACTGAAGTGAGCGAGCCTATGATTATAAAACGAGTAGGGGGATTTAAATTCTGCTGCAGAATAAATAGGCTACCACCCACCGCCTCCTCTCTCCTCCCATTTATTTCCGTCTGTCGCTCCCTCTCCCTCACATATACACACACTGATGTCATTTCATTGATTGCCCAAGAACAATGGCCTGAGGGGAAGCTGCATTTCTTGGGGAAGTACAACAACAGCATTCCTCACCAACACGACAAAACTATTGGCACATCAAACCACTACCAGTGACCACCACATCCTCCGCATGTAAATAGATTGATGGCAAACAGCCTCTGCAATCACTTGATTTATATAAATCATGCCTCACCACTGGACTATTTAGGGATGACTGCATCACTGCAACACAGAAGCACTTCTGAAGTGCCAAACTTAAAGTTCTCTCTTTGATATTACAGTAAATACTATACATTTACTCCTTCTGTATATTAGTATCTCTAACATATGTATGCCTTTACAGATCTTTGGGTGAAACCAAATCCAAACAAGTAGGATCTTGATAAAAAATACTTTAGTGTGGGCAGGGTGGAAAGAGGAACAATGCAAGGAATTTCCCCCAGTTTCCTTAAGAGTCCCCCCACGGTGCTACAGTATGAGTAAACCTGAGTCACAATAATCACTGGGAGCAAAAACAATGCTGCACCCTAGAGGTGTAAAATGATAAGAGACTTGTCCGACATTGAAAACTGTTAAAAAAAAACCTCTATATTTATTCATATTTGCAAATCCAGATTACAAATCCACAGACAGAATCCACACTAAATTGATTATTGCCCAGTCTGAAACTATCAGGAAGTACAAAAGAGAGGAAAAGAGAGCGGCAACAGAGACAACAGAGGTAGTTTGCCTTGTAAATGAAACACGCACATATGAAAATGTAAGACAGGTAAATGCCAGGTATGCCACATATTTTTCTCATAATTTTTAATGTTTAGATTTATAAATCCACATCTAAAATTTAGCCATTGTATCTGAGAATTTTTGTCAACTGTGTGATCTGAAAAACTTTCAAAACAGTTGAAAACACTTAAGATTAGCACTTATACAACATTTAATTGTATCAAGGGTTGGGCACTAAGGCAATATGTACCACCACATGGTTTCCTCCTGCTACAGTTTACAGGAGTTCTTGCTGTCAGACAAGTCAAGATAACAACTGTGAGGGTCTGTAATAATGAGCGTAATGTATACACTGAATGATTACACTGAGCTACAGGTGATAACAGAGTTCGTCATGTCTGGGTAAAGAAGATTTAAGCATTTGTCAAATTTATCTTAAAGCAGGGGTAGGCAGATTAATTTTGGCATCATTAGGCAAAAACTTCATAATAAACTTTGAGCATATTGTAATTCAAGTGTGGTCTGTGAGAACACTAAACTTTAGCACAGTGCTGACTGGAGACTTTTGGCCAATCACAGATCATTTCAGAGAGAGAGGGCTTTCTTATTGGCTGTTCTACAAATGCGCATGCACGTCCCTTTGGTGAAGGCCTGACTCAATGGCAGAGAGTCCTATAGAGAAAGTTGCAACTCCAGCATTTGCAAAAACTGCCTACACTGCAAAGCAACCCAAAAAAGAAGACAGACTTTTCAAAAATAAAATCTCAAAGAGAGACTGACTGACTAAATAAAATGTGTCAATATAAGCAAAGGGTTTCAGAGATAGAAAGAAAATGTTGCTGAAGTTTACCCTTCTGCTGACTGGAGCAAAATGCTTATGGCTGCAGCTTCAAGTTCATGTTTATGTAGTTATTGTTGTTTAGAGCAGTTGTTCCCAACGCTCCATAAATGGGTCCATTCTGAATGGACCAAAAGTGACTCGTGAATGTATCATGTTTGTACAAAACACACTTTATTTTAAAGTAGAGTGAATTTCTGGCACAGAGTTTTTATTTTGACGTGCTGTTTCCTGCTGTAGAGTGATTAACCGATACTACTTGACAGAGACAGCAAACTAGCTCGACGACATGGCCAAACGCAAGTATGACGCTGAATATATTAAAATGTGTGGACCTTGAACTCATGACTGAGGAGAAATCTGGACCCCATGGCCGGACCAGTTGGGGACCACTGAGCTAGAGCATGAAATCCCAGCGTGTCCTTTGCCTCACTCCCAACAGCTACAACCCACCAAGAACCAAGAGGAGAGTGGGCAGCAGCTCTGTAGAAAGACCCCCAGTTAGCGGCCGCAGCAACCTAAATCCAGCAAGTGCTGACCGAATATGAGCCACAACAGCTGCCGACTGAAGGTTCATCTCCCAAGCTGCAGCCCACTCTCCTCCCAAGGAAGCAGTCTACAGTGGTGAGTTGCGTGGTGAAGGGACGCTGGGCTGGCTAACGTTAGCTAGCTAATTCTTGTCTCATTTGTCGTCTGATAAACAGAGAGGGAGTGGGGCAAGGAGGGGGTGTGAGAAAGCGCTGTGTTTAATGTTACAGTAAAATTAATAAATTAAATAAATCAATGTATGGGAAACACTGGGTTACTGTATAAAGTGCGTGCATATGGCCATCGTTGTCTGGTGGTAGGGGCTTAGGACAGAGAGGGGAGAGCTGCAAGCGGAGGGTGTATTTTCAAATTATGCTTCTTTCTTTTTTTTGCCATTTCAAGATTTCTGCCTACCCCAGCTTTAAATTAAGGTACTGTATATTTTCCTCGAATGATGAATAAGGCATACGTTCATCTGCTTTTCAAACAGTAAAAAAATCCCATTAGCCAGGAAAGATAAATAAAAAGGAATTTTAGTTTTGAAGCTTGTTTACTTATTGCTGGTTTTCCTAGAACTAAAAGAATGCAAGTCTTTTTATACTTAACAGAGGTGATGCTTGTTTGTGTCCTTATTTGAACCTCAACAGTCCATTTATTTTACTGAGAAGTTGTCAAAAAATATACATTGGTGTAGGTGTAGTTCATTAAGTACTTTTAACACCTGACAAGTTGCGCTGTGGCTAAACTATATAGACAAAAGGACCAGAAGATGAGATGCTGCCACAGGAAACACATATTCCCCAAATACACACAAGTGTCAGTAAAAGTAACATGCTGAAGAAATGTAAAATTCCATGTTAAGTTTTTAAATCTATGTATCATTCATGGTCAGAGCACTCCATTAGAGTTGTGTGTGATCATGTGCCTGCGCAGGTTGCTGGGGTTGTTGAAGCTGGCGGTGCACTGATTGCAGGTGTACGGCTTCTCCCCAGAGTGAGTCCTCAGGTGGATCTTCAGGCTGCCGTTCTGCGTGAAGCGCTTCCCACACTGTGTACAAGCATACGGCTTCTCCCCGGTGTGAATGCGCATGTGGATGCTCAGTGTGGTCTTGTTGACGAACGACTTGCCGCAAAAGGTGCAAAGAGCAGGCGACTCCCCGGTGTGACTTGCCCTGTGCACAATCAGGTCTTCACGGTTGAGGAAGCGCTCGCCGCAGAAGCTGCAGTCCAGAGATTTGTTGATGCCATGTGGGAAGACGTTCTGTGGCTGGGTGAACTGGCTGACATGACTCGGGTGCCCCACTTGATTATCACCTCCTACTACTTGTGTTTTTAATGCAGGATTCAATGCTGCTGCTGCTGAAGCCATTTGGGTGGAATGATTTCTTTCCAGCTGGCTGTTTCTGTTATCCTGCATCCCTCTCATCGGGGCTCTGTCACCGGCACCAGTGGTGAAATTCAAGAGACTGTCATGGGTGACGTTGTGGTCGGGAGACAAAGAGCTAAAAGCCTGGAGTTCAGAGGCAGTGAAGAGGGTGTCGCTCTCATCCTGCAGAGGCCCTTCCCCTCGTCCGTGAACACTCACGATTCTCAGGTCCTCATTATCACCTGTCAGGCAGGAGGACTCTAAATTCTGAGTCTGTGTAGAAACTCCACCCTGCGTACTGTGGTTTCCAAAGTCATCCTGACCTAAAAAGATAAATCACACAATGATATTATGAATCAGTGTTTGTATATGAAACTTTTAGACTGGGACTTGAGTCACAAAATTATTTGTGGGCATAATTTATATTAAGAAGCTAAAAGACAATCTACATGATGTGATTGACTCTAAGTTTTATTTCATTTATCAGGCATATCATACACTGCAAAAACAATAGTAAAACATGTCACAGAAGACAAAGGTACCCTTTACCATCACATAGGCTTGCGTTAAAAACAATACATCCTTCCATATACAACTATAGAGCAACGAAAAAATAACTTAACACAGCATCCCATCTTTTTTCGAATTGAAGTTGTACAGGCTATACTTATACCCAGTGCACACCTCATAAGGCACCCTTGCACCACCAACCAGGCAGCCTGTCCCATCTTGGATTGAGGCCACTTCATAAGCGCTCCCAACAACATGATCTCAGAGCACACACTACCTACAAGTTTAGGATGCATACCCAAAAACTAACACACATAGTTAAGATTAGAATAATGAGCACAGTGAAGACGTCACTGAAAGACGTCAAACTGCCCTTCCTCTACTGTGGAATCAGCCAGTGCTGGACTTTAAACAGTTATGTGTCATGGATGAATCATGCCACTCATCTAGTTTCACTGCACACTGTGATGTAATAAATCACCCTGAAAGCCTACTCATTTACCCAACCTGACATATGTTTCAACACACTGAAGTATGCATAAAAAGTTTGTTTAATAAGATATTTAACTATAAAAATAACAACACCAGGGATGTAATTTGGGATGTTAGTCATTTATAAAAGTGTTGATGATCTGTCTTGTCAGTGTGCAGTGTTTAGACTTAAACAAATATTAAATTGTTTCTTGTTTTATAGTTGAGAGCGCAGGTTTTGACCTCAAAATGGAAATGCTTTCCATTAAACTTCTGGTGCAGGATACATCTTCCTCCAGCTGTGACACACACATACAGTCTATTTTCTGCTATTATGTTTCCTCATTCGTTAATTATGTCAACAAATCTCCCGAAAAGGCTAAACCAACTATTAATCTGTGCAACTATCAACTCTAAGACCAATCTATTTAGCTTCTGCCTGTGAGTCATGCTGTCGCATCTGTTGACTGCTCACCTACAACGGGCCCACATCCTCCGACGTCGTCCTCATCTTTGATCAGGATGACATCTGGGCTCTCTCCATCTGCACACTAACCAATAAAGAGACATATGCATGATGAGCAAACAAAATATCAAACAAAACTATCAGTATCTCAAAGTACTTGTATTTTATTCACCTGCACTTGAGTGGCAGCGGAGGAAGTCTTGTTCTCCGGTTGTAGAGAAATCGAAGCAGCTTCCCCAACTGTCTTTTGAGCCACTGGTGGCTTAATGACAACTGGAGGAAAGAAAAAGACAAAATTTCAGGACCACTGATAGTGATATAAGGGTAAGAGGGGTGAAGAGTTTAAGAGGTGGGGACTATCACTGTCAACAAAACCAGAATTGAGAATTAAATGCACATAAACAACAAAATGACAAAGCTACATTTTCCAACAGCTCATTTACAGTCTGAATTTCGAATCTGTTGCACTGACTCAAATTGAAGGCACTGCATTGAAAACTGGGCCTGTAAACTTGTGTTAATCACTTTAGTTTGAAGAATTAGCAGCGGTAATGCTATAAATTGGACATGGTGAAGTCAAAGATGAGCTTTATTTGACTGACAGCTGATCAAGACATCTCCTGAAGGGTATCCAAAACAATTTGTTGTGGATCACTTAGGACTAAAGCATCTGCCAAATGTGACACAACGTGGTTCAGTCTCATCACACACTCTCTCCACAATATTCTGCATATAGTATGACACTATATACTTTGACCTGTGTAACCTGAATGTCTATTTTCTGAAGAACATATGCGCGATTACTGCAGCTGCTGCACCTGCTTGCATCCAAGGAATTAAACGTTTTTTTTTTCTTTTGTACCCCGTGGTTCATGACTTATTAGCCAAAACATTATGTTCTTAATAACTGGTCAAAGGGTGATGCTATTGATGACATTTGATTGTATGCCCTTGCCTACAGACTGCCATTCAATTTCAATCTAAATATCTGTTTTTCTGTCAATCGCTTAATGAATTAATTAATCGACAGCTACTTCTTATAACGAGTTAAATTACAACCCTACTTCCAATAAACTTGGGATGCTGCGTCAAACATAAATAAACATAGAATGCAATGATTTGCAAATCCGTTTGACCCATATTCAGTTGAATACAATCCAACAACAAGATTTTTGATGCTCAAACTGTTAAACTTTATTGGTTTTTGTAATAATACACTTATTCTGAATTTGATGCCTTCAACACGTCCCTAATACGCTGGGACAGGGGCAACAAAACACTGGGAATGCTACAAAAAAAGCACCTGTGTGGATCATTACACTGGTGAACAGGTTAATTATTAACAGAATTAAGTATCATTGCCTGGTATAGAAGGATATCCTCCAAAGGCTCAGTAGTTTACAAGCAAGGATGGTGCAAGGTTCACCACTCTGCAAAAAACTTTGTGAGTCCATTTCTTAATCTACAATTGCAGGAATTTAGGGGATTTCATCATCTACACTCTATATCATCAAATGATTGAGAGAATCTAGGGAAATCTAAGGGGTAAGGCTGACAGCCAACACATCATGTCTGTGACCTTTGATCCCTCAGTTGCCCCTGCCTTAAAAACCGACATCATTATATAAAGTATATCACTACATGGGCTTGGGAACAGTTAGGCAAACCATTGTCTGTAAAAACAGTTTGTTGCTGCATATACAAATGCAAGTCAAGACTCTACCATGCAAAGTGAAAGCCATGTAACAACAACATCCAGAAATACCACTGACTTCTCTGAGCCCAAGCTCATCTGTGTTGCGCTGTGGTCTGACGACTCCACATTTCAAACTGTTTGGCTTTGTAGTAAAAGAGTGCAGGTGCTAAACTGGCCTGACTCCAGTCCAGACCTGTCTCCCACTGAATATGTGTGGTGCGTTATGAAGCACAAAATACGACAAAGGAGACCGCAGACTGTTGAGCAGCAAGAATGGGAAAGAATTTCACTTTTTAAAACTTCAGTAATTAGTGTTCTCAGTTCCTGAATGCTTCCTGAGTGTTGTTAAAAGAAATAGTGATGTAACCCAGAGGTAAACTGTCCCAACTTTTTTATAACGTGATGAAGATGAAAACAATTACATTAAATATTTTCTCTTTATACTGTATTTAACTGAATATAGGTCAAAAAAGATTTGCAAATCATTCTATCCTGTTTTAATTGATGTTTTATACAGTGTCCCAACTTTTTTATGAATTAGGGTTGCAGTTTTAATTGTAATGGAAACACATACACAGAACTGTACACACACTTCATACACACTTGTAACTTTGATTATAATTTAAGATGTTTTCACAGTCAGTGTTTGATTAGATGTTGAATTACCCATATACTAACTAACTTTAGTACACTAGTCATAAACATGTAATGTGAAGTGACTCAGATCCAGCTCATATGTCATGAACAGACACATCACCTTCTGGGCACGAGGGCAAGCCGTGGTGAGACGAGATGAGACGAGATAAAGAGCAGCCGAGATTTATTAGTAGTTTATAGACCTTTTGTTATTGCAGGAGAACCATTGAAGAAACTTATACAGCACGTTGTTGTTAAAATAAAAGCGACTGGTTGGACTCTGTGGGTCTTTAAAAAGTGGCTCTGCAGGAGGAGGGGGGGGGGGGGGGNGGGGGGGGGGGGGGGGGGGGGGGGGGGTCTGGGGGGGGGGGGGGGGGGGGGGGGGGGGGGGGGGGGGGGCGTTACTTGTTACTCGAGTATGAAGTATTTTTTAAAGTGAAAGTACTCCGTTACCTTGTGATCTAGCCCGTGGTTTGGGGATATTCCCTCTGATCGGGGAGAAGCGGCTGGCCGGCCGGTTGCTCCTGGTCTGCAGCCTGAGGGAGAAGAGCTCACTCCTCATCACCTTCATCCTCATCCTCAGGGCTTCGTTTTCCTTCAGGCTCTGGGTTAAATGCAGGCGGAGAGACGACGAGCTCTCAGAGAACAGCTGACTGATTTCTGTCACCGCCGCTTTCACCAGCACGTCCATTATGGACAAAAGCTGCGACTCCAGGTTCAAATTGGCCGGCGGCATGTTTGTCGACATGTTTCTCTTTGCTGCCGCCGAGAAATATGCTGGAAAACAGCGCTACACAACCGCCGGGCTAGCTCACAAAAGGAACAACACAATGGCCTTTCCGGTAGCATGACGCTCGTTACCGTAATCCCTATAAAGCAGGGGCAGCTTTAGTTCACGTTTTCCTGGTTCACGGCCTCTTATTCTGTAAGGTCAGTGTTCATATACAATAAAACCTGATCAATAACCTTGGCTGTAATATCGACTGGCAATAACAATTATTATTAAAGGCACAACTAATTATATTTCACCTATAGCCTAATGAATAGATATTAATAGTGGTGGAAAGTAATTAGGTACTCAAGTACTGTACCCAGGGGCGTAAATATAGACAGTGCAGACAGTGAGTTTTCTCTGGGGTCCGTGAGGTGGGGGGCCCACGGAGAGAGACGGCCCTCCGACCATGTATTGGGTGGAGGATGGGCCCTTATGGGTGATTGCCACATTGAAAATATGCCTGTGTTCAAAGAAGAACTCTCATTAAATTAAAAACAATGTCATTTGATATGTGTCCAATCCATCCATCCATCCATCCATTTTCATCTGCTTATCTGGGGCCAAATTGCAGGGGCAGCAGGCCAAGCAAAGCACCCCAGATGCCCTTCTTCCCAGCAATGCTTTCCAGCCCCTCCTGGGGGACCCCAAGGCATTCCCAGGCCAGATGGGATATGTAGTCCCTCCAGTGTGTTCTGGGTCTGCGAAAAAGGCAAACTCATCTCTGTCATATTTATTTTTTCTTTTTTTAATAGTCAACGACATCTTTAACAAAACCATATCCTTAATCTATTACTATAAATCAACTGTTCTATAAATAAACTGTCCTATAACTAAAAATAAACTTTATAATTGTTAAACTAATAATTTTTGAATTTCTTACTTTCTTTGGTATTTTTTGTTGCACAGATATGCAATGATGATTGCTGGGTAATATGGATGTTGATGTCATCCATTGTCAAGTCTCTGATCATGTGAGGAGACGATATGTGCACGATGTGCAGTAGGGTCCATTGTCACTACCTTACGCCATAGACTGTACCTAAGTATAATTGTGAGGTACTTGTACTTTACTTGAGTATTTCCTTTTTTTGCTACTTTATACTTCTACTCCACTAAATACTGGGGGCAAATATTGTACTTTTTACTCCACTACATTTATTTGATAGCTTTACTCAGTAACTTTGCAGATATATGTTGTTAAACTAATACATTATGATATATGATTACAGGTTAAGGTGACCAGTAGTATATAAAGTAAGTAAAATGAGCTCCACCTTTACAAGGTGCAGTAGAAAAGTGATGAATACTTCAATGCATTAATAATTATAATAGTATTATTACCATTATTGTGAAATGGGCCATTCTGCATAGACAGTACTTTGACTTTTGGTACTTTAAGTATATTTTGATGCTAATATTAAAATTTGAATGCAGGAATTTTACTCATAAGAGAGTATTTCTACTCGGTGGTATTACTACTTTTATTTCAGTAAAAGGCCTGAGTACTACTTCCACCTTGAGGTAAAGAGTCAGTAGCCTAACTATACAGAGATAACTACATTAAAAAGGCTTGTTTTACTTGTGTAGACTTTTTTATTTATTTATTTATTTTTATCAGAAACGTTTCAAAATGATTTTCAGTGAGGTATTAATATCGTGTTCTGTCTGTATTTTTATTTTTTTGTGTGGGTGTGTTAGTCTTTATTTTAAAAGACCTGTCAGCCAGTCTTTGGTTATCCATTGCTATTTATTTTGATTGGGGGGCAATCCTGTTCTTAATAGACCTCTGATTCACTCTTGAACAACATAAAACAACAAATGTTTTATTACTGGTAGGCTATACAACAAAGAGTAGAAACCTTAATTGGCTTAAAGTCCGTTCATAAAAATATTTTCAGGCAAAACATCTCGTGTACACAATAAATTATAACCTCATAACTTTGATTTCTTTTACTTTAATTGTAATGCTTTAGACTTCTCTTTAAAGTGTAATATAGGCTAATTTGTGTAGACCTACTACTAATATAAATGTACTTTTACAGGGTTTGTGGCCTGATTTCACATTTATCTGTAAGTCACTTCTTAACTTTTATTTTATTGATACTTATATTCTATTTGGCTTTATTTAACTTGTTTTACTTTTTCATATGTAGCATCTTTTGCGCTTGTCCAACATAGTATAACTTTTTTGTAAAGCGCTATAACTATGATTATTGTTATTATCATTATTATTATTACAAAAACTGTCTCTTTGGCAAAAAGACAACCCATTGCCATTGTGAATGCACACCATCAACCATACTGCTGTCATAATAATCCTTAATCATCCTTCAACTCAAAGAGTTTCTTGTTGCACAAATTACTTTCCAATTCACAAGGTCATTGTTTAATTCATTTTTTCTATAAATACACAGCAAATGGTGGAACTGAATATTTCTTCTTTATGTGCTCAAAACAAACATATGCAACAACAAAAACACACAAACATAAAGATAACTAACATCACATTGCCTGTAGTCAATCCAACACCAGACTAAGACTTAAGCTACTCAGGGAACCATCAGCAATACTTTTGGTCTTTTCAGTCTCTTTCCGTCAGTATTTTTCTAGGACTCTGCCTTGACTAACATCCCTCCATCTCCCTCCGTCTCACAGCTGTCTGGTGCATTTTCTTCCTCACCAGCTGCCTCTGCCTCTTCAACATCTTCCTGTTTCTCCTCTTGGCTCTCTGTCATCTCAATCTCAGCAGACTCTCCCTCATCCTTCTCCGGTGACGCCTCTCCTGCTGCATCTCCCTTCTCTTCTCCCTCATCACCAACTTTTTTGTCTTTCTCCGCTGTTTCTTTGTCCTTCCTCTCTTTCTCTATTTTGGAGAGGCTTTGGCAGAGGGACTGGACGTATGTGAACACACACATGGGGTCAGGGTTGTTGCCCATCATGAGCATGTCCTTCACTTCCAGCAGAGGGTAGCAGTCGGCCAGGGACCTGAGAGTGGGAGAGAGTGGGAGGTGATGAGGGGACAGAGGAAAGGAGAGAACTGAGGTGAGACAAAGCAGTGACATAGAGTAACTACTTAGATGTTTAGAGAGAGTCCTGACCTTCTTACTGATTTACTGGTACAGTAATTTTAAATATGCAAAACAGGAATAAATGGGGCAACATTGTCAAGGTAGTGAGTAAAATAGTCAATTTAAACTATCCTCTCCAAGGAATTTGACATCCTTCCCTCCAGTCAGATACAGGTTTGAGAAAACTAGGTGCAAGAGGTTTGAGGTGTCACTTATGTGCAATAACCACTATTAAACCTACATTTTTGGCAACATGGGGGAAGCGGAGACAAGTTATGAACACTGAAATATCATCACCCTTTATGTTGAAATGGCAAACATGGTAGCAAGCCGTTGCTTATTTACACATCCAACAGTTATGAGCAACATTATCATTCATTTGGAGTCATGTTTCTGGCCATCTAGTGAATGTAAGTCCAATATGCACTCTCTTTTAGCTGTCTTTGGTCTCTACCAACTGCTGAGAGAAATATTTGTCTCTTTAGCTCCTAAATTCTCCACTATGTTCACCAGCCAGTTGCTCATTGTGTCGGTCTGCTGTTCGGTGCTGAGCAGGTTTTTTCTGATTTCTATTTGTAGTCCAAGTTGTATTGACCAATCATATGCAGATAACTTTTTATATAGATTAGCTGGAATGAGATGCACACAGAAGATGAAGTCTTGACACATATATGTGCTTGCTTCACTGGATCTCCTGAATATGCTTGACGTCATCAGACTGATAACTGATGGGTTTTGAGATTGCTGAACAATTAATGTACAACCTATATTTTCCCCCTGACTGCTCCGTGACAGCAGTGACAGTGAACTTAAGTAGTAAAGCTGTGGCCTGGACAGCTCCAACCTACAGCAACAATGAGGTGAAACTCAGGATAAAGCCCTGTAAAGCTTTGTACATATCCCATGTAATCGTGAGCCATTAATTTGTGCATAATCGACATATTTTGGAAGGCTGCGAGCATTTGACCAATGTGCTTATGGGAGTGCACAAGGAAGCGGTCCTGAGGAGTTTGTAAGGAGGCAGGTTGGGGTGGTGGATAGGTCACAAAACATAGGACTTTCCCCTGGAGACCTAACCTCCATAACTTTATGTCAATTATGTAATTTTATATTAAGGACATAACGTCATTCATGGGGCACTAATTCATAGGACATCATAAGAACTGTTGTATAAGGATATGTTGTGTTATGATAAAAAAACACTTATTATAGCTGCTTTAATTCTAATACACTAAAAACTGCTGTTGGTTCCCCTCAGAGCGTAGTGCTTCCCTAATTCTTAATGTTGTTATTGTATTATATATTTTGTGTATAGTACCAGAACTTTAATCGTCTGAATGTGCTGCTATAGTGTTAATGTTTTATGCTGTTATGCTGCAAGACAAACTTCTTCTTGTGGGACAATAATGATCAGAACTGAACCGAGAGAAGAAACATAGAGGAGAAAATGAAATACTCCATACTCTGCAGTTTGGAAGGCCAGAGTGAAGTTTTTCTCCCTCTCCTTTGAATTCAGGGAGCTGAAGTCAAAAGCATCAGGAAAGTAACGATGGATCAGAGCACAGAATGCCATCCCGTCACTCCAGGATGATGAGAAGTTTTCTATCTCTACACCCTAAAAGGTCAAAGGTCACATACGTACATGACAGTGAAAAGACGGACAGAGCAAAGCACATCTACACCGAGGCTCAGTTATATTGTTTTGTAAATTCTCCTTTCCCAAATCCAGACAACAAATTTGGTGATGAAGACTGTTGTGTTGGACTCACCTCATAACGGCGAGTCTTGTTTTGACACCAGTGAAGAATCTTCTGTTTGATAGTAGCTCCTGTAGCTCCAGCTGATGCCGACTTCTGAATTTTGAAGTTGCGGGCTATTGGTGTCCTAAAACATCACAACATCGTACAATTTCTAATGAAACCTTTATCAGACTATATTTACTTTAACTTATTTGCGGTACTGGGTGTCATACAATGACTTACTCTGGTGCACCTTTTTGGAATTTGGCAATGATGTCATTTCTAGCGGCTGCCCTTATAGAGCGTGCAGATTGTTTCGGTCGTGAGAGAGCAGAGGAGGGAGGACCACTCTTTCTTTTGGGCTTTGCTTGCTTTTCCACCTCTGCTGGCTTCCCTTTGTCTTTTGTTTCTACATTCACTTCCTCGATTTGTTTTTTCTTCTCTGCCCCTTTTGCTGCCTTTTCACTCACATCTTTTTCTGCTTCTTCTGCCTTTTCCTCTGTTTTACTCTTCTTTTTCTCTTTGTTTTTGTCCGTCACATCCTCTCCTTCTCCCCCAGTCTCACAGCTCTTGACCTCTTCCACCTGCTCACCTTTCTTGTCTTCATTTTTCTCTCCCTCTCCATCTTTTTCTTTGCTTGTTGGTTCAGTATCTTTCAGGTTGACATCAGTAGAGGCTTTGTCTTTATCTTGTCCAGCTTCTGTGGCGTCACCTTCAACATGCTTTGATGGAGTTGTCTGGGCCTTGTCTGTGTCTCCAGCGCTGGCCTCCTCTTCTCCTCCCTGCTCTGGTACTGAATCCTCCTTCATCTTCTCCTCCTTCTCCCCCTCCTTTGTTGCTCCCTGACCTTCTGGTGTCTCCTCTGCTGGAGGCTCTCTCCCTGGGTCTTTACTCTCTTCCAGCTCTGGCTCATCTGTCTGGAGGACACACAGTGTAAAACAGAGTTTAGTGATATGACAAATCCATCTACAAATACTGTCTGATAAACAGGTTGATGCATGTTTGTGCATTCACAGCCCTGTCACCATGATAAAATGTTGGCATCATCCATTTCTGCAAACAGAGAGACCACATTTGTACATTTCACACGTATCATATTAACATTTCTAGAGTGACTTAGTTCATATTACATGTGTATGAGCCTAGTTTCTCATTAAGGAGGATGATGGTATGGTGGGTGGTGTAATGCCTAAGTCAGACAGCTGGGTATTTTTAATGACACATAAAGACATTTGCAGCCATGTTTGTGGTGTCAAAACTAGGTATTTTAAGCCTAAATATGAGGTATCCTAACCTTGACCAAGTGATTTTGTGCCTAAACCTGACCACTCAGTAGCCACAGCACTGTCACAAAATGAAATTGAAATAACAGCTACATATAAACTGTAAAATTTAACACATCTGTGGCTGTTAAAAATCAGTTTGGCCTCTTGGACTCTCACTTCTTAACATATGCCCAATTATTTTCTATTCTAAATAAGAAATGTGAAGAAAGAACAGTTCCTGTCTCATGTCCAGAGAGGATCAGCTTCTAAAGAAGGCAACCCTGGCAAGAGGTGTGGTCTCAGATATCTATAACTTAATGTCTATAGCTGCCCCTAATGCATATTCTGTCCAGCTGTCTTGGAGGCATGACCTAAATACATTTCTGACTGCTTCCCAGTGGTGCATAATTTGGGGTTCGGCTTTGAGATCTTCTAAAATGTGAGATTAAGGATTTTTCCATATAAAATTCTGTGCAGAGCATATATTACCAAGATTATCCAGATTATCCAAGATGGATGGCAAACATCAAAATTTATGCAGGCATTACTGTGGCAACTGAGGTTCTTTATTCCACTTGCTCTGCGACTGTCCATCTGTTAAAACACTCTGATTAGAAGTGATACATCCTATGTTAGAGTTTTTCGATGGACAATGATTTTGGAGACTAATTCTTCTAAACTGTAAAGAGTGTGAAGCAGCCACTTCTCAAGGGACTCCTGGCTGAATGAATACCTGGACTTACTAAACATGGAACGGGCAGCCTGCCTGTTGAAAGACTTCGATAAGGGGCTAGAGGACCACTGGGACACTGTCAATGGAAGTATGCGATCCAACGTACGTTACATATGCTACATGAATGTCACCCTTGCATCCTCACCCATCCCTTTTTTATTACTGTAAATTTTCCTTAAATTTAGCTTGTACCACATGACTGAAATTCCACACTCATCATAACGCATCATAACAAATCAAACCATATCTGTGATAAATGAGCAGCATCATCTGTTGAGGAAAGACATGATATGCGGTTTAAAGGTTTAAAGTTGTTTTTTCCAAGCTACTTGTGAATGCTGATGGATTATCTTCAGTATCTATGTATTCATGGGATTGGGCCAAAATATCTAGAAAATATATCGAGATTTTTACTTGGTGTGCGGGTATTGGCTTGTCATGTTCATGTTTCATTTCCAATATGCTCTCCCTTGGCCACAGTTATATTTCTTGTTGAAGTTATCATCCAAATGGGAGACTAAAACATGTTTATTTGTTTGGAAGGGCAATGTATCACACATCTGTCAATTATTATTATTATTATTTTTATTTTTTTTTTTTTTATTTTTTTTTTTTACAGTTTATTCTCATTAGACCAAGAGGGGTTTTACATCACCTGTCCACTCATAAATGTGTCACATGGAGATCATCTAAAATAAGCCTGACTGGGCCACAGGAGAGTATGGAGTTAGTTAAATGTGCCTGTGGGCACACGCCCAAAGGGCCAGGAGGCCCCCTGGACCATAGCCTCTGTCCGAAGTTTTTAACACTTGTTGTTGGAAAGTCAATCAAACGGCTCCAGAGAAATGCAAAGTGACCACAAGGAGACACAATACGACCACAACGAGAGGAAAACGAGTTGCAAAGAGACACAAGCAGCTACAAAGAGTTGCAAAAAACTACACAGTGAGGTAAAATGACTACAAAGAGACTCAAAACAACCTCAAAGGGACACAAAATAACTACAAAGAGATGCAACATGACCACAAAAAGACTCAAAAGGGAGTACAAAGAGACAACAAATGACCATTATCAAGAGAGGTGGGAGGCCTTTTACATATCAACACCCATGGGCCCATTGTCTGATAATCCGTCCATTAGCTAAACCAATATAAAAGACCATTCGCTCAGAGCATGACCTCTGTTTCACTTCATTTATTTATAATGGATATGGTTACTGTTGATTTTGTTCATTAGTCTGGACGCTCATGAAGAGTTTTAGTGTCCAGCCATGTCCAGTAAACAACTAATGATGGTTTATCACTTGAATAGTTTGAGATATTTACTATTCCCACATAATACTGACGTAAATAATCTAAGGCAAAATGTATTAATATCAATTGAAGGACATACACAACTAGAAGCCTGACCCTGCTTCTGTTTCACTATGGTTATAAATAAAACATTGACAACAAACAAACAAACAAACAAACACAGACTAGTTTTAATCAATCTGGTGACAGTCTTGTTCGAACTACTAAGAGCATGATTTATGATTGTGAGTTAACATTATGTAAGATGTACTAAAATTAGTGTCTACACTTCACTCTAGGGATAACGTGGTCCTCAAACCAAAGAGCATAATGTAATGTGAGACCTGAAGCTCTACGCTGGGATTTGATGAGCATCTCAGTTATCTGAATACAACTAAGAGGTTGAACTTTCAGATAGTAAATATGCCTTTTGTAGTTTTTAAATTGAACCTGACAGATCAGCGTTATCCCAAAGGTAAGTTTTGAGCCAGAACTAATCAATGAGCAAACCTCCTCTGGCTCTCGACATTTAGATAGTTTCTTGAGTGTGATCTTAAGTGTCTTCATGAGTGTCATTGATACATTTTAGAATGAAAAGTTGTCATGACTTCATCAGTCGGTGAAAATTTTGGCTTTAGAGATGAATGTAATCATGTTTGACATACTGTATATCTGGTAAAATGTCACTGCAGGAAAAGTCACACCAGGTCAGGCCTCGCACCGGTGACTCATCATAGGGAATAGGAAACTTCACAGTGTGTGTGCATGCGCATTACTTTGCAGAACTTGTTTGTCTCTGTGTGTGCTCTACAGGAGTATGAACAGGTGTAGCACAGAGAATTCAACCCAAACCACTTCAACTGTCCTGCTGTCCGAACACAACACCTGCCACAGCCACAAATACACTCACTGTTCCTGGAACACATAGTCACACCGGTCATTGAGGATTTTACAAATGTAAAACGCGTTTTTACGCTGCAATTTAATGTATCAAGCAAAAAAAAAAAAAAAACACAGACCTGATTGTTGTTGTTGTTGGTGTCAGTCTGAGCGGTCGTCTCTGTGGACCCAGATGTCTCCTTATTGGACGATTCTCCATCCATGATATCCAGAAATGTCTGTTTATCCACTGGATCAAAGGTCAAATCAGACTTTCCTTAAAAACTAACACCCCAGGACTCTCAAATGATCACTTCTACCTTCCCTAGAAAGTTTTCATTCAGTCAGAGGTGAATCCTCCTCACAGGCAGCCTGCTCAGTGTCTCACTTTCTGCTTTTCGCCACTCTACTTTCCTTCCCTGTCTCCCATGTCTCCCCCTCTCTGTCAGCACTGCCCCCCCTGTTTGTGATGTGTGTGTTGGTTTGTGGATATCCGCCTTCACCCCTCTTCACCCGACACCTCCACCCTCTGCTTTGTGAGGATGCCTGTGCTTCTTTATCTGAACTTTGGAACAACACGGGGTCCCGAAATAGAGTCACAGTGACATAGGCACAGTCCAACAGGCCAGACAGCTGTGTCTGCTGTGGAAACCGCGGCTGTACACACACGCATCTTAAACACGTGGGTGCACGCATACAGTCCTTTAAACATGCTCACAGACACACTTCCTTTTTGTTCTTAATATAAAATGTTCTTTTGGATATATTTGCACCTCTTCGTTTTATTGCCAAGAGTTAGAAAAGAAGCTCAATACCACTCTCATGTTGTTGGTAAATATGAGGCTACAACCAGGAAAAGGTTAGCTTAGCTTAGCATAAACAAAATCTGCCTATCAGCACCTTTAAAGCTCGCTAACTGATCAGTTATATCTAGCTTGTTGAATCTGTGCCAGGATAGTTCTTGCTCAGCACATAACTCCCCAAAGACACCAAAGAAAATGAACTTTTTCATTAAAGGTAAGTAAGAGTAGTAGCCTACATGATATCCAGTGAATACCTGTCCCCTCTGTCTGCCTTATTTTCAGTGCAGCATCAACTGAGACCTTCACCTTCTTCTCCCATTTGACTCCCCCTGTCTACCATTATCTAGCTTCTCCACAAATGGTTTTCTCCTCTCTCTTTTGTTGTCCTCCCTCTTTACAGTCCTGTAGCTCATATCATGAAACATTCAAGAGGCACATACATACAAAGTTGATAGGTGACATGGTTAACTAAGACTAGTCCAGCTTCTCAACTAAGCATCCTAGCCAAACAGTGTATCTCCTCATTCAACACAAAACAGATGGATTTAAAAATAAATGTCTATCTTTATTCCCACTCTGTCTGTCATTATCTTCTCTTACCCCCCACATCCTTCTCCTCCACCTCCCTTAAGTCCTGGGGGGCTATAAATATGTCAACGCCTTCTTGTGTATCTGTCCCACTCCCTCCTGCTCAAGCACAACCATGCATCTGTTGCTCTTTGTATGTTTGATACTGTTAAAGGGAACAGGGAAAACAAAGGAGATATTGAGAGAGTTACGTGTACGTGCTTATGAGGACAATTGTAATGGATGGCAATACAATGTATGTGTGTGTGTGTCCATGGGTGGAGTCAAATGATGATGTGATTGCCCTTGTCGTTATTTTTTGCCATCGTTCAGGGATCATCTCGAATTGTTGTCTTTACTTTAAGTGAAGTGCCTCATACCAGTCACTCTACTCACTTATCTCAGTGTGTGTGTGTGTGTGTGTGTGTGTGTGTGTGTGTGTGTGCATGTCCACATCAGAGGCTGACTTGCATGCCTCGGTTTATAATGTACTGTGGTGAACCACTCTTCCTGTTGTGTTCTACTTCTTGGACTAGATGCATCAAAGTGGCAGCTTCCTGGTATGAGGTCATTGTTTTTCACTGTCTCACATTGCAGAACACACAGTTTAAAACTTTTAGACAGTTCAAACAAAGATGAAAGACATCAGCTCACTTTGTTGTCAGTGTTCTTTATGAATCATTAATAATTATGAACTCACCATGCACAGTGAAACACTGATCACAAAGCTGCAGGAAGATGCAACTGTTGATGTGATTTGAATCACTTTAAGGTGGTGATTGTATTTTAGAGGGATTATTCAAGATCCAAACTTCTTATATGCCACAGAACATAGAAAGGATGGTTTTTCATTTAATTTGTCACATAAATCAATCCATCATTCATTCATCACATGGAATTATTCAAGGTACAATGTAAAATGTGAACCCATCAGCTCGTTTAACTTGTGCACTGTAGTTTAGTCTGTCTTTGCGTCTTCTTACATTGATGGCTGCTGCTTTGTAATTGTCCATGTCTGCGGATGGTTCTGGTAATGGTTTTTGGTTGTGTAATGATTTAACTGTACACACATCCTGACCTCAACAGGACAGCTAAATGGTTGCTTCTCCCGAGCATTCCCACTGTCACACCAGTCCTTAATCATTGTTGAAAAGCACCAGCCTGTACAATGGCCTGTACAATGGCTAGCAGGATGCTCGTTCAGCTGGTGCCCATCTTCTCCATCTTTTCCTCGATGCTCACTGATGTTTACATTTGAAAACATCAACAAGGCTAGCTAGCAGGAGAGTTAATGTCCATATCCTGATGAGTGACTCATAGTCACACACCACCACCACCAACACACATAGACATAAGAGCCTACCTGTGAACACAAAGGGGGGATTCAGAGTTTAACAGCTGTTTGACCTTGACGTGATTTGAACACGCAGCCTTCTGATCTGGAGTCAGACGCGCTACCGTTGCGCCACAAGGTCTGTTTTGAGAAGTAGAAGTGGCGCTTTATAAAGGTAAACTGGGCAGCAAAATCAGCCTGAAATAATAATTTCTACTGATTATTAATCTTAATAAGAAGTGTCTTAACTATCTGTTAATTGAAAAGGTAGCCACAAAGTTGAGCGACCCTGATGTGATTTGAACACGCAGCCTTCTGATCTGGAATCAGACACACTACCATTGCGCCACAGGGTCTCAGACTACAAGCTGTGGAAGCACTTCAGATGGATGGCATACAGGTCTGAAGGCTATCACTGCAGCAGAATTCAAGACTGAGCCAAGATTTTTTTTACACAGAAGATATTTCCTAATATGGTATTTTGGTGATGGTGGTGGAGAGTGCTATTTAATATTTTGGGTGTGCTGGTATGCCTAAACTGACAAAGACACACTACATTAACAAGGATTTAAGATGATTAAAAAAAAGACATTAGACATAAGGCTATATCACACACCTAAGTCAGCAGTGATTTCTTTGATTATTTGGAAACCTCAGCTAGGATCAAGTAAAGATGCTATAATCAATGACAGAAGGAGAAATATTTATATTTTCATTCATGAATTTTGTATTTATTTACATATTTATTTGATCATGTATTTATTTATTTTTTTTTATTTCTAATGTATTTAAGTATTTATTGATATGTTTTTTTATTTATTGATACATAACATTCTGATCTATCATCAGATTTTTTTTTTTTATCAAACAGAACCTGTTGTAAATCTAATTCAAAGGTTGGTTGGAGCACTTGCTTGTTTTGACCTTGATGTGATTTGAACACACAACCTTCTGATCTGGAGTCAGACGCGCTACCATTGCGCCACAAGGTCTATTTCCTGAAGCAGAAGCAGCATTTTATAGAGGTCAACTGGGTCTGCTAAGCACTTTTATATACACCATAGAGTTTGGAGAGGATGTTTTTTTTTAATATATTTGTCACATAAATACACAGCAAGGCACACAGAGAACCTGAAAACTTATGAAGACTTTAAATTATGCATATATCAGGGTGGGGTCGCTTGGGTGACAGGCTGTCTGCGAGGCATAGCCACAGTCTATGTGTCATATCCACCCATCACTCCCCCACACCTCCAGTGTCTTGTCAAGATATGGTCACTACTGACTCAAAAGAGTTTTGTAGGTGTTTAACCCTGATGTAATTTGAACACAGCACTGATATGGAGTCAGATGCTCTTCAACTGTGCGACAAGGTCAGTTTTATAAGCTGTAATGGCACTGTATAGGGATGGCATTTTAATTGGAAAGCCAAGTCTGCCAAGCAATTTTTAGAGCATGAAGGATATTAAAAGGATATTAATCTATGATCAATGCTGTGCTGTCCAAAAATACCCCTTTTCTACCAAATTAGCTCTTGTTTTTGAACTGGTTCTGCTCAGGGCCCTTGGAACCCTAGTACTATCTAGCAAAACAGCCTGTTTTTCCCACAGTTTTGAACAGTAATCAAGGACGTGTTATCAATGGAGGGTGCATTGCACAATTCACAACAAAAGTAAACAGTCATAGCAAGACGGCGGATCACATTGATTACTTGCAAACTTTTGTTCTGTCATTACAGATATTAGTTTTTATCCAGCAGAAAGCCTTGACCAGCTATGAGTGCGACCACTTCGGGCTTTTTTCCCCCCGATGAATTCTTACTGTACATCTCTATTGTTGCATCTCCATCCGGTCTTTCCAGCCTGTAGAATGTTAAACACCCTCTGATGAAGTCACAGTTTACACTTAAGGTTGAGTAAAACCTTGGTTTGAGCTTGGTTCAAACTTTTCAGGACCAGAAGCAATTTATTTTTGGTCGAAATGTTCAGAGTGGTTCAAAATTAGGTGCAGGAACTGGATGGGAACATGATGGGAACAGTTTATTGGCAGAGCACTTGCCCTTCGGAATAATATTTATCATATACTTTGGCATTTGTAGTCTTCAGATTTCAACTTAATTTTGGGGCGACGCTGTTAAACAACACTCTTCACCACCAAAATCAAAGTAACAAAGCAGGAAATATCTTGCCTGCAAAAAACACATTGGCTCGGTCTTGGATCCTGCTGTGGTGATAGCCTTTGCATTTACATTCCGTCTCTTTAAAAGTGCTATCACAGCTTATAATAGCTGACCTTCCACTGCAACGGTCACGAATCTGACTCCAGATTAGAAGGCTGCATGTTCAAATCATGTCAGTGTCAAACATTTTTGAGTCTAACAATCAGAACAGCTGATTCTTTCACCTCTCAGTTTGATTTTACACTTTGCTGTATTTTTGTGTGACAAACTGAATGAAAACATCCTCTCCATCTCTCTGTGACATTTAAAAAGTGCTTAGCAGGCCCAATTGACCTCTGTAAAGTGGCTCTACAATTTGCACACAGCCCTCTCCCACCTGGACCAGAGGAACATATGTGAGACCACTGTTCATTAACTATAGTTCAGCATTCAATACAAGTGCTCCCTCCAAGCTCGTCATCACACTCAGAGGCTCAGTGCTGCCCTCTGTGATGGGCTTCGGGGCTTCCTGAGCTTTCTGATGGGCATACCCCAGGCTGTGTACTCCCTG